AGCTATAATTGATTCTTGGCACCATGTGGTTACGAAAGATGAACTCCAAACACTCGTTCACTGGATGAAAAGACGCTGTGAAGCTGTCTTAAAAAATAAGGGTTATCCTACTAAGTATTGATTGTGGAAGTATCACTTTAAAAAAATGCAACTCTAAGATAGATCTGACTATTTGTTGCATAACCTTCTTTGTAATACAGATATTGTAATACTGTGTTTATTATTAAATTCTACATTAAATTACCTTCAATTTGATATATAAACGTTTGTATTTAAGTGAAAATTAATATATCTTACAAGCACACAAAGTTGAAAAACATGAAACTTTCAAAAAGTGTCCACACTTTTGGCCACCACTGTATATCTGCTAAATCAATTATTGATAAAATGTAAAAAATTTTCGAAAAAATATTTTTTGAATGAATTCTAGTAATTGAAAGTATTTAATTTTCTGCAAATAACTATTTTTTTATTTAAAAATTTCAGTGCTAGAACACTAACATTTATATAAAAATTATCATATTTGCCACCAACTTTACTAAATTGATCATCGTATATTATAAGTAAGTCATTTATAAAGTTTAGTCTTATTAGTGAAAAATTTGTGTTCTTATTTAGGCTACTATTTTCATAGTTATCGTCAACTATTTTCATGCTTTAGACTACCAAAAGCTACAATTTTGTTCATTTTTTACTGTGGCAACCCTGGATTAAGTCATTTTATGTGTTGCTCATGTGCATACTCTGAAATGGATTTGGTGGGAAGGAATCTTTCATATGCATTTTATAAGAGATTCACAGTTTTGTGTCTTTCAGCCTCAAAAAATCTCTCAAATTTTTTGCTGATCGTGAGAACAAGCAAAATTTTTTTTATTTATTTTGGTAATTTCATGACTGGTGAAGCACCGTTGTCTTCACAAAGTAATGGTGCTGTTCTATTTATACCATAATTCTTGATTTGGGGATAATTTATTGTTTTCATATGGGCCCATCTCATCTCCCTTTAATGTATATAACACTAGAAAGACTGATATATTGCCGAAAAGCAGTCAAAACGACTGGGTTGTGAAAGAATAATGTGTAAAGAAATTTGTTTAAAATTAATCCTTAAATGCTTATTAATATTATTCACAGTTATGTAACAAGTTATTAGTAAATATTAACAATTTAAAAAAAAAAAATATATGTTGTACAAAAAGTCACAAAATTCTAAGAAATTGTGTCATTATATAACATCATTGTTTTTATAATTGAAATTAAAAAGCAGTCAAAATGACTTCCTTGGGCAATCTAGTGTTAATTCAATGGAAAGGATTTTTCACCCGAGGGACCTCCACTCATTGCATAAATTTTTTTAAACTTTTTACTATTGTGTTGTTACTTTTTAAAATTTCCAATGCTTTTACCGTATTTTTCGGCGATAGCGCCGCTTCGTCGCAAGCGCCGCACCTCGATAAAAATGAATTTTTAAAAAAAAAGTTATAGTAAGCGCCGCAATGGCGCTAAACCACGCATATCAGCATCCTTTTAGAAGAGGCCTTTAAATTACCATTTAGAATATCTGTATAATAAAAAATTAATTTTTTTTTATGCATTTCATAAAGTAAAGTTTTAATTTCTAAATTATAATAAAATATTTCTTTTTCAGCAAAAAAAAGCAACAAAAAAGTTTTCTCTTTCAGCAAAAAAAAAAGAAAACAAAACTATATAAAATAAAGTTGTTCTTACCAGTTGGCACCGTGCCAAAAAACAGAAGAACAGCAACAAAATATTTTTATGTTCAGTAGCTGAATTGAGGCTGAACTGATTATAGAAATCCGTAAAGCAATGTAATAAGAAAAATAAAATAAAAATTTATTAAAAGAAAGATTTTAAAATTTATTACCGTTAAGAATTTGAGAAAAAACTAATACATAATAACAAAACAGCTAATAATAGCAAAATAACAAATAATAACAAGAATAAGTAATAACTTAGCAGGCCCCAAAAAAGTTTTGAAGGAATGAGCGAAGGGGAAATAAGTTTCACTTTCACAATCTTTGTTGGTGGAATTTTAGTGGATGGAATGCCCTCTCCTTCAATGGAAATAACCCAATGTGATTCAACTTAGAAAGAGAGAAGAAAATGTTTAAAAGGGGTGTACCCCACCTCCTCGACGTGTCATTTCTATTGGAGCTGTTTAGGAGGAATCAATCAGTTATATTTTAAAGGGGTTGGGGAAAAGAAAAGGGTAAGGGACCCCTAATCCAGCATTCCAAAATTCGGCACTTAATCTGATCTAATCTTTTTCTTTTTTTTTTAAGAAATTTATATTGATAAGACAAAAATCAGCTATATTCTTTTTATTTGGAATTTTATTCTGTTGAAGTAACCTACTTTATTTTATCTTTTAAAAATGAAAAAGAAGCTTGAAAAAAAAATTTATAAATCTGTATCAAAGGAAACATCTGTTTCTAAAGCAGTTTAAAATAAAGTGAGAAGTAAAAACACCTGCATTTCCAATGAAAAAAATAAAGAAATGGAAGTTGGAAAAAACTAATCAATCAATCTTGACAGCTGTGCTTGTGCTTTACTGATTTGCCCCCAAATTTCCCTCCTCTGTTTGACCATAAATTGGCCACACCCAGTTGACATTGAAACCACCATGTGAACAACAAAATGAATTCTATCCCTTTTGCGGTTTTTTATTTGATTCATTAATTATTTTTATTTTGCCGCTTTTTATTTTTCTTGTTAATTGTTGCTTGCTTGTTTTTTTTTTATCGTTATTAGTTTTTAGCTTGTATTTTGTTGTTATTCATTGTTAGTTTCTTAGCATTAATTGTTAAAAAAAATTTTTTTTGTAGTTCCCTGTTACCTTTTTTTTTCTTTTTCTTGCGAGGTCTTTTGTTAAAACAAAATGTTATCTAAAAGAAAAAACGAGAACTATAATCTCGCTCCAAACAAGAAACGATTATTTCTTCTTCATAGGATTCTGATTATTTCTTCTTGATTATATTATATAGATTATTATTTTGATTAGTAAAATTTCTCTTAAGATGGGCCAGTTTTAAATTCACCCCATCATAATCTACGATCGAAACTTGACTAAATTTATTGGTTTTTCTGAAATTAACAGTGGAATTGAATTATAGTAATATTTGGGGGCCATATTGGAATTTCCGAAAAAGATCCGAAGTCCGGCATTTCGTCAGTCCCGTGAGTGTCGGATTTAGGGTCCCATTCTTCCTTTTCTGTTCGCTCAAATTACAATTGCCAAGGCGCTAAATAGATTTCTAGCTTGCGATTTTTCCTTAAGCTAGGGGTGGATACCTTTTAAATTTTCTCCATATGCGATGTTTTTTTAAAATTATTATTTCGTTTATTTATTTTCTTACAGGCTGCCGCCGAAAATTTGCTAAGAATTGGCGATGTTCTGCAGCAGATCGCGATACGGGCAAATATTTCGTCGACTTCGTTATTAATTTTTTTTAATAGTCTTTCTCTCAGAAAATTATTTCATCTTAAATAACTTTCCTTGACAAATTTTTTTGCTACAAAAATATATTTCGCCGGAAGCGCCGCATGTAGGAAAAAAACAACTTTTTTTCGATAGTGCCGCGGCTCTTCTACAGAAGAATATGGTAAGTTATTTTATGAAAAGACTCATTAATATTTGGGCGCAAGAGTTTTTTTTAAAAAAAGTATGAATTTTCACTATTTTTACGTTTAACAAATGCGGTAAAAAAAAATTATGTTATTTAGATTTGTCATTCAAGAGAAATTTCATTCCACTCTTAAATAACAATTAAAAGAATCGAAAGAAAAAGAAACACAATTGACAAAAACAATTCAATCTAACAACTGAATTCATCTACACACAAATAAAAAATTCAACGATCTCAGATTTGTTTTAATATTAAGAATATAGGGACCCTGTTATAACCCCCTGTTATAACCCCCATACCCCCTGTTATTTCTAGCAGGAATATTTAGCTTCAATACTCATTGTATTTACATTTCGAGATTATTGAAATCTCAATTAAGAAACACTGAACCAAGTTAGAAATTTAAAAGGGGCTATTCACTAATTTAAATTTGTAATAGGAATTTATTGAGGTTATCTAAATTTTCTTAATTCTTTACATATCTTTATAAATTCAGTATGATGAATAATATTAATCTTGCTAATTTTATTTATTTAATTTTTTACTATACTGCTATAAAATTTTTATTTTATTTTATTTGAGTCTGAAAATATGCCAATAACTTTTTTAAGTTATAATTTTTCTAATTTAATTATAATTTTGAATTAAATTATTTTTCATAATTAAATAAAAGTAATTATTAATTTTAAAAATGAAAAGAGTAACTTATTATGAAATATATTTAAAATTGTGCCTTAATTGTTATAGTGGCTAATATAATCAAGAAAAGAGCCCTTTGTCAAAAAACAGTTGTTTTACAATGATCATGTTAAGTCTTTACAACTGTTTTTGCATTTTGTTGTTGAAAGAACTTTCAACAATACAGTAGGGAACCGATCATCCGGAACGGTCGGGACAATCGCTATTCCGGATAACTGATTTTTCCGGTTTTCTGTATCGCTACCAAAAGCCGTTTTTTTTATTGTTAAACCCAACTAAAAAAATATATATATTTGGAAATAATCTTAAAAATAAGAAAAAACGATGAAGTAATACACTAATGATTATTTCCAAAATGATGGTAAGGTAAACATCTTTAAAAAAAGAAAGAAAAATCGTAAAATCTTATGAGGAAAAAAAATTTAAAAAAAAAAAAAAATGGCGAGAAAATTTTTCAAATTTCGTTCCGGTTTTTTGGTTTTCCGGTTTTCTGATTACCGGATAACGGGTTCAGTACTGTACTAAGAAATAATATTTATTAGTGCACACATCCAAATAATGGGTTTTTTAAGGTGCTTATTTCTTGTTGAAAAACTTGGCTCAAGATAAAAAGGTTTTATGTCTTTTTTGACAATCAAGAGAAGATGATATAAAGTTTGCATACCGTGTGAAGTGTTTAATTTTTTTTTTTAAATTACATAAAATCTTCTCTCTTTTTTTTCCATCTAACTTTGTTAGGGGAAAAGGTTGAATCCAATTTCAAATTTATCCAAAATATTGAATTGTCGCTTTAGAAAGAATTAGCTATTTGGAATTTTTAAATAGTTGAATTGTTATTCTATTATTTAAAGTTATTTAATTATTTCTTACTGATAGTTATAAATTTTCTTTTAAAGCACTGGCTCCCTGAATATGTTACCTGAAGAAAAATATAAGATAATTTCATTAATTCCAAATGTAAGTAGTTTACTTTGTGAAAAGTTTGCTTTTATTAATTTTCTGTTATTTGATTTCAACTGTTTCAAAAGTAACGGAAAAGGAACACACATGATTATTTTGTAGTTTATCAATTCACCTTTGAACTATATAAATGTTTTTTTAGCATTTTATTTTCAACCTCAATTGTGTTATGTAGTAAATTGTTTATTTTTTACCTTGGTGCCTGAAATTTGATTTTATACATCAGGGCAGTCATTTTGAAATTAAAAGTGGTAATTAATAGTTGAAGAAATTATTCTTTTATTAGTTACTGATTATTTTTTTTCAATCAATATCAGTGTTATAAACAATTCATGAAGCATTTTTGTTACCACATTTAATTTGAAGAAACACTTTGGTCACAACACAGACTCATAGGATAAATGTGATCCATTCATTTTTGTAGGCTTATAAAGAAGATATTGATAATTTGCTGAATATAATAACTAGTCTTCTTAGTACTTCAAGTGGAGAATGGGATAATCAAGAAGTGGTAAATATTTTACATCTTTTTAACAGTTTTTTTATAATGCTCAAAGCAAAACGCTTTTAAGATGATTCACATTTCGTGGATAATGGTGGCGACACTGTGGCAGAATTTGTTCAAGCTATCTGTGACATAATGCGTAGCGTTTTTAAAAAGTGCTTAAAGGTGCTTATTTTTTATTTTAGTTTTTTTAAAAGCCCTTAAAGGTGCTTTTTTCATTGGGAGTTTTTAAAAAGTGCTTAATTTTCTCTTTACAAAAATGAGATTTTTTTTCTCTACCATGTCAATTTACGCCACGTATGCATTTCAAATGCGTAATTTTTACATTGTTCTATTCAACGTTTTCACAATTCCTTCAACCACAATCTATTTAACTGTACTGTCGGTCCATAGCGTATTAAAGCGCCAATCATTTTACATGTTTGATGAAATACTTGGGAGTCCGTGCGTGCATCTACTGACAAGGGAAACTAGGGAAGTGTGACTCGCCAATTTTGAAATAAACTAGTGGGATGTATGCCTTATGACGAATAATTTTTGGGGGAAACATTCGCTTCGGCCCATAAAAGGTCCTGTGAGAGATAAAAAATTCAATATATAGAAAAATCGGTATTTTATTACTTCAATGCAGACTATTAGTTATTGTAATTCTTTCATACTCCAATTAATTTTGTGGTACTTTCACGTATTATATAATGCATATTTATTGTCAAAATTGATTTCGAAAATGTTATATATCTGTAGTTTTTCAGAAAAACCTGTAGGTTAATTTAAAAAAAAAAAAATTGACATCACATTTTTTAAATTTTTTTTCTTCCAAAAACTTCCCAAATTAATTGTAGTATGTAATTGCAAATCAAGTAATTAATTAATAATTTATTAACAATTAATTAATAATTAATTAATTTTCTGATAAATTTATTAATTAGCAAATTAATTAATTATCCAATTAATTACAAACTAATTGGATTATAAGGCAATTATTAAACTAAATAGTCTGCATTGAAGCAATAAAATACCGATTTTTCTATATATTGAATTATTTTTTATCTCTCACAGGACCTTCTATGGGCCGAAACGAATGTTAATTAATTTATTAATTAGCAAATTAATTAATTATCCAATTAATTACAAATTAATTGGATTATGAGACAATTACAGTAACTAATAGTCTGCATTGAAGTAATAAAATACCGATTTTTCTATAAATCGAATTATTTTTTTATCTCTCACAGGACCTTCTATGGGCCGAAACGAATGTTGCCCCCTAATATTATTCCTCATAAGGCATACACCCCACTAGTTTATTTCAAAATTGGCAAGTCACACTTCCCTAGTTTCCCTTGTGAGCTGAGTTTGATGAGATTACTGCACTATCATGTACAACTCTGCAAGCATGTGCATTTTGCAAGATAGTCTCAGTTTCAGGCTTCATTTTCCAACCTCTGATTTTGAACTGAAAAATCTATTGATCATTTAATTATGGCTAATATAATCAAGAAAAGAGTTCTTTGTCAGAAACTAGTTATTTTTTCAAGATCATGTTAAGTCTTTGAAAATTAATTTGCATTTTGTTTATGTATACAGTGCTTAAAAATACTTAAAGGTGCTTATTTTTTGTTGAAAGATTTGGCTATGCACCCTGTGTGACAAAACTATATCACTAATTTCTAATATTATGGGTGATATTCTTGCATTTTGTGGCATGGCGACACAAATTATTTCTTTCTACGCAGTTATAAATAATTATCACGATAAAAAATATAATTGAAAATCACAGAATCTGCAGCAGTAACTGCCGAAAAAATCGACGATTAAACCACGCGAATCGAGCTTCTCAGATCCGTGTTTCGTTTCGAGATTACACTGTTGTAATAAATATCTGATATAATATCGCATAAAAAATAGCAGATTTAAAAACTAAGGAGAAATCAATAGCAATAACTGCCAAAAATTCGATAGAATTATTGGCTTAAAAAGTAAATACTCAAATGCACAATTCGCATTTTCCATATTGTTTAAAATATATCGGGATATTTAAAATCCACGGGAAAGCCAATATTACTTGAAGCCTAATGTTACACTGCCGGAAATACAATTGAAACAGTACATCCATTTACAATACTATCGCCGTAAATTGAGCGTGTCAAAAAGTGATTACCTAAATGCATGATTATGTCATGCATGCCTGTGTTAATTTCTGTAGAAAAGAAAAGTAATTTCTGTTTATTTTTTTTTAAAAAAAAATCTTTCTGCAAGAACTCCGTAATGTTCTGTGACCATGTCGTCGTGTCTTTGCAATATTTTTGTTTAAATTATCCTGTGTGAGATCAACAGTCTTAAACAAAATTAGGTTTGTGAGTGACGCTGGACAGCGGATGATTCAACCTTCGGCCAGTAAAAAATCGACACTTGTCTAGAGCTTCTAGAATGTGTTCTTTGTTGAGTCCTAAAGTGGAAGTTTCAAAGCAAGTTTTTTTTTCTTCAGTAATTACTTCGATGGCTTACCCCGACGTTCGCATGTTTAAAAGTTGACGTTCGCATGTTTAAGACTGTTCGCATGTTGTATCAGTATTCAAAAATAATGTGCGTAATTTTCTCAGTTTTTTTAAAATTTTTTTTATCCCTCTATTGATTGTGCGTTATTATTTATTTCGTCCATTTATTAGTCACTTTTTGATGTGCCATGCGTTATGATAGGTTTTTTTTCTTTTTGGCAGCTAATGCTGTTGATTTTTACATGAGTTTAAGATATTATGATACAGGAAATTTAAATATTGCACCTGAGTATTCACTATTTGATATATCATATCAATTATTCTATGTTTTGTATTGGCGAGCAAGAGAACTTTTAATGACGAATTGGCAACTTTTATGTTCTACTTCATTGTACATTTTTACCTTGTTAGCTTTGTTCCTTTAGTATTTTTGAAATCTTGATATTTTTTATATTTGTTATTCCTGTAGATTTTGCAGTTTTTGAAATATTTACTTGCAACTTGGAATATTTAATTTTTTTCAATATATATACATATAAATTTTATGTCTGCATTAAAATCTGTATTTATCTTAGTACAAAATGCCATCACATGTCTGCCTGAGACTAAGTTGGATTCTTTTGTAGGATTACACAGAAAGTGGAGCAGAAGAAGTGAGATGGCAACTCATGACATGTTGCCCATTTCTCCTAAAACTTGACAATCATGAAGAAGTGATTGAGAGCCTTTTGGAGATGTGGAAAGTTCTTGTCAGTCGAGCATATTCTTATTACAGAATTGCAGCTGCATCCTATTTGCAATATTTGCAATTAAATGGAAAAGTATTTGATGCATTTATGTACCTTGTTTTAATTGTGTATTTAAGATCAATAAGCTTTCACTCGGATGTAGGGCTCTACAAGTAGTAAAGCTACTGTCATGCTTCTTTTTAGTAGTATAACTAAAATACTTGAACTAGCCATTATGAAAAACAGCTAATTTCTGATGCAAATGAAACATTGATGCTATTTCAAAGGAGGGGAGCCTATTTTTGTTGTGCTTGGTTTGTCAGAGGACAAGCATTAAACAATTAAAAGGTTTCAAGTATTTGATTAATTTTGCATTTCTTAAATTCACTGATGGGATAACGAACTGGCTCATGTAAACATGAATAAATATTTTTTAATTATTCCCTTTCATTTCACATAAGTTCATCTCCTTAAAGTAATGAAATAGTACTACAATTCTAAAATAGTTTGTTTAATATTTAAGCTGTAGTTAGCTACATTTTAGACCCACCTGGAAAACCTTAACCCTTTCGCGATTAGTTTATTATTTTTTTTACAACAACAATTTTGGTAGCATAAACTGTGAGTATGGCACACTAGAATGCTATAACTAAGATTTTAAACACTGATTTAGGACCGGAACATGTATATCCCATCAGTCCTGACAACTGGAACATATGTGTCCCAGAAGTCTTCAATGAGTAATTTTGTAAAGAAAACCAGGGTTCGTTGATTTAAATCAGCTTGATTTAAATCACGATTTAAATCATGATTTAAATCAAATTATTTTTTTTAAAAAAATCATTGATTTAAATCAACTAATTTTTTTTAACTATATATATTGATTTTAAAAGTTAAAAAACAGTGTTTTAAATTTTTGATACTTCTATTATTTTCTTTTCTTAGTATTAAAATTTAATTTAAATAAATTGCTGCATTAATTAATTTTAGTTAACGAAATTACTTTCTTGGTGTGTGTTAAATTCCAACACATTTGAAATTACATTTTTAAAAATCTTTTGATTCTTGAGATTGAAAGTACAGATTAAAGTAAACATTTAATGCTGTCTTAATATAGACTTGCATAGCTGTAGAAAGTAATTAATAAACATGAATTTTTTTCAAAAAATAATACAAATAATGTTAATTAAAATTCTACCTTTTGAATGAAAAAGCGTGAATTAAAATCTACATCATATTTTATTGGTGGAAAATGTATATTTCTGAAGCTTGAGGTTATATTAAAAAGAAATTACCCTAATATGCCAAAAACAAAAAAAAAAAAAAAAAGGGCTGATGAATTCAGATGTTTTTTTCCTAATATAGTGTCATTCTTCCCTTTCAAACTCTTTCGAAGTCTATTTGATGCAGTAGGGTTATTAACTGGTATTTTTTTCTCATAATATGTTTACAGTATCTTTGACATTATCTGATTTTCTATAAAGAAATTTTGTGAAAAAAAATTCCAATGAGTACATAGATTTTCTAATTTTTTTTTTAGCTTAACTTATCTATTTTGATATAGAATTAAAAATGAATATTTTAATATAAAAATATATAGATTAAATATTTATTTATTTTTTGATGAATGACTACATTTATAAACACAGTCTGCTACATTTATTTTGTCATTTTAAAAATCAAGAAAAAAAAAAAGAAATCACAATTTTAAATTAAAGTTATGGTTTGCTAACTGAAACTTTGTTTTAATAGTTAAAGCACAGGGGTCTGTCCAAGCCGGTACCTTCACAAATTCAACTTTAGGAAAAATGATAGAATAATCACACAAAATACTTTTTCTTAAAATTGTATTTTTGTGTCTCGTGAGAAACAATAAATCCATATTTTTACTATATTTGTGTTGATTTTTTAATATTATTTTTAATTTTTACAAAATAGGTACCTCTCAGAAAAACCCAAATAGACCTCTGAAATATTCTTTAAATTCTCTATTTCTTCTAGTCTTTAAATTTTAATCATGCATTTGTTTCAAAATGGTTGCTATGCATTCAAAGCCATGTATTATAATGAAAAATTATTTTGGTTAGAGCTTCTAAAATATTGTTACAATGTAGTTTTAATATTAAGTTAATTTGATTAAACATTTATAATAGTCTTTGAAAATTAATTTGCATTTTNTTTGAATAAAAATCAAAAAAATCTGATTTAAATCAAAAAAATCCGATTTAAATCAAAAAAATCTGATTCTTTTGATTTTTTTAAAAAAAATCAAAAAAATCATGAACCCTGAAGAAAACCAATGATCACATAGGACTGTTGGGATAATGTGTTCCCACTATCCAAGACGAGAGGGGCTCATATGTCCTGATAATAAAAACGGAAGTAAAACTTTGCAACTTATCAGTTTATTAGAGGTAGTGAGTAATTTCTCTGACCTTAGATTTATAGATCAATCAAAATTTAATCAAAGGTTGGCAGTATTTTCCAAAACTAAACTATTTACGTTCGTACAGTATGGAATGAGCTGCTACAACACTTCAAAACTTGGGGTGTATGTGTCCCGTTAGGTACCTGAAATTATCAGGGAATTTTTTTATGCTGGAATAAACCTGGAAAAGTCAGGGAAATTTAGATAATTACCTGCAGGGATCTGTGCAGGGTAAATTTACTACAGTTTTGCGGTACCCTCAGAAATTCAACTTCAGAAATAACGGTAGTTTCACAGAATACTTTAAAAAAAAGCAAGTTCTAAGATTCTCCACCTCTTAAAATTTTGTTTTTGTATCCCCATAAAAAACTATAAATCCCAGAGTTTTTTAAAATGAAACAATGAGGTTCTCTCCATATTAACTATACAAATTCAAAATTCGAACATCATTGTAAATTTATTTTACAGACCTTTATTTTTTTTATGAAATTTTTTTTTCCCTATTAAACTTTTTTCTGTATGACCTAATCGAAAATGTTCTCATAATGAAACTAACTTTTAGTTCTAGTAATGTTAAATGCAAGTTGAAATTTAACTATGAATATTTTTAAATTTGTATACAATTTTAAGCTCGAAATTTTACAATAGCAAACTTATTTTTCTGCTCATGGGAGGAGGTGACAGCTCTAAGGAACCTAAGTAGAGGACCCATTCCGACCTTCAAAATCGACAGAATTCCAGAAATTCAGTTTGACTGGTAACTCAGTCAACGCACCTATTTATAGGAATGAAGTAAAGCCCTAAGAAAAGAAGTATCAGAAAATATTTTGGAACTAGAATCCATAACAAAAACTGTTTCTAAAAATCTTGAAGAATTATATAAATTTATGTAACATATGTGTAATAAGTAACTGGAAAATTATAGAAAGCAATAACATTTTTTAAAATTCATGATTATGCTAAAAATGAAACAGCTCTGTCATAAACAGAGTTTGAAAAGTCCTTGCTCATCTAGGTTTATAATATAAAACTTGGCATTTATTGGGTATTTAATGTAAACCCTAAGTTTTTGTAAAAAGGCTTTAAATTTTGGCTCGTAGGTACTAAATAAGAAGGCATGTTTTGTTTTTAACACCAGAAAGTTAAATATTTGGTAACTATTTATAACTTGTTTTGTTGCAATGCAAGTTTTTGGTTGTTACGCTATTATTTATATTTCTTGAGGATAAGCAGATTGTTGCATAACAATTTAACTCTACTTAATCAAATGATCCCAAACTTTTTGTTATTAATCTCTATTTGACAATAATTCAAACTTAGATTTTAATAATCATTTATAAGTCAGCTGACTTTGCAACTTAATATGCTGTTTTTTTTTTTTTTTAAATTTAAATTAGTTCATGTTTTTTGCCAGATTGTTTAGTAATACTATGATAGCAGATTTGTTTAAACGAAATAAAATTAAACTATAAATACGTCAGATGAAGCTCATAATGTTTATTTGTCCATTAGTCTGAAGATAGCGATCATCCAAGTGACAAAAAAGGATAAATTGGGGAAAATGTTGCAAATATGTCCCTTTCTTAAAAATCATTTCAGAAAAAAAAATCCCCCTTTTTTTTTGGTATAGTATTTATATTTGGTATAGTTTTTTTGGTATAGTCATACACCAAGTCATCTGAGCATTCGATGGCTCAGGGGATAGAGCTTTCGCCTTCCAATGAGGTGAACCGGGTTCAATCCCGGTGGTGGCTGGGTGATACGAATTCTGCATCCGGCTTGCACCGACCACAGTGCTGAGGTAAAATATCCTCAGTGGTAGCCGGAGCACGGGTTAGAGTCCCCTTGCTGTCAGGCTAACCATGGGAGGTTCTCATGATTTTTCTCTACGTGTAACACAAATGTGGGTTAGTTCCATCAAAAAGTTCTTCTCGAAGGCAAATTTCTTCCAATACTTGATCCGGGAGTTTCCTTGTCTTCTGGATTGTGTTTAAAATTACAAGACTACAGAGTTGAACATTGGTAGTCCTAAACCCAAAAATTGAGACAGCTGTTCGACAACGGTTATAAAATAAAGACATAAATTTTCTGATAATTCAATTACATTCCAACAATTTCCATCTGGCTTGAAATTGTTTTACGTTAGTTTTATTTCACATTCAGAGACATGTAATTGAACTAAGTATTAGATTGATCTAATTTCCATTAACTATATCAATGAACATTTGCTGTTAGGCTTCCATTAAAGAAAAGACAGAAGATGATAACGTGACAGCAACTCTCCGTCTGTTGAGATTGGTTGTAAAACATGCCACAGAACTGAGAGATATTCTAGAGGAAGGTTTAGCTGAAACACCTACTGCACCCTGGAGAGGTATATTTTACACCTTTTTTTTTGCATTTCTAAATATTTTTTTTAAAGCTGCTGTTATGTAAGATTTTGTAAGATTCTTCCAGAAGTGCTGTCCGTGCTCCGGCACAGGTCTCGGTTCTGTGTAGCTGTTAATGGGTGAACTTTTTTATTGAAATCATTTGTAATATAATTCGTGCTTCACAATCCTGAAATAAATATTTATCTCTGTAAGGGCTTTGTTTTAGGAGTTCACTCACAGCATAAATCACTCTGCATTTTATTGACTGTTATTCCATTAAATTCTTTGATTTTTAAAAATAAGTATAAATGAGTTTAACCACCACTACATGTAAATAATTTAAACACATAATAGTCTTAATTATAGCGAATTTCAATTGGGTCAAAATATAAATATATTTTTGATCAAGATTGCTTTTCAGCAATTGTTTTATTGCCACTCGGAAAGAATGAAAATTTGCGGGTATGCACATGAAAGTTTATGTCGGCAATAACTCGAAATAACTTCCTGTCAATAATAACACGAAAATGCAACCGATAATATTACGCAGGTTAGAGTTTTAATTCGTTTATGTTGGATGGCATAAAAAAGTGATTCTTCAAATGCCCGTACAAAACAATATGGCCTTAAAAAATCAAGATTTAAAAATTATTAAAATCTGTAGCAATAACTGATGAAAAGAAATGAAAAAGACCATTCGAGTTTACAAGTAAATGGCAAATAATTGAGTACCTAAAAAGGCTGTTCTTCAGATCGAGGCGAAGTTTGTCGAGTAAAATAACATATTAAAGCATTGAGATTTAAAAGAAACTGTATGTAAAAATCCTTATTGAAAACACACACATGAATTTACTGTGGTATCGTCGCTTATTGAGTAAGTCGATAAGTGGTGCATGATTTAGAATTCACTGTAAGTTAAAATGGCGATACATTTTTTTCTTGTTTACATTTCAGGGGGATTTTTCCAATTATTTAATTCACATAACATTCTAGGATTTTTGTTCTTTTTTTGATTTTTTTACAGACCTCAGGGTTGGACTCATACACAGTAACTATATTCATTAAATGTTTTTGAAGTGGAAAAGTAACTACTAATATTGTTGGAGGTTCCGTTAAAATTTAAAAAAAAGTATTACTGATTCAAAATTGATACAATTCTAATATGTGTAGTCTGAGTTCATATGCCTCAGAGAATACCTTCAAAACTTCAGGAAGTCTACTTTTTTTCTTCACAGCCATATTTTTTACTTGAAACTTTTCTTGCATAATTTTCCATCACTATATTAAAATGCAATTATTATTTTAATGAAGATTTTAATTTATTTTTTGTACTGAAATTTTAAAAGTTCTTTTTCATTGTTTTTAATGTATGGTGGATTATGATGTCTGTTGATAAAAATTTGTTAAAATGTTGTGTGTCAGTGATAACCTTTGATATGCAGAAGAATAATGATTTAGTATTGATATCGAAGCATACTTTTAAAATTTCAGTGGTGTGTCTATTAATATTATTCTCATGTTTTAAATAATGTATTCCTTTGAATATTCATTTCTTTAGGTATAATACCACAGCTTTTTTCTCGCCTGAATCATCCAGAGACGTACGTGAGGCAGAGTATTTCTGACCTTCTGTGCAGAGTTGCTCATGCCTCCCCTCACTTGATTGTCTTTCCTGCTGTGGTTGGTTCTTTGACTCTGAAAGTAGGACCCCAACTTCAAGATGAGACTGCTGGTATGTTTATGGTTTTCCTCTTTATGTCTAAATTTTCTCATTACAATTATCAATTATAGACCTGTAGGCACTTAATTTGCCATAGATAGACAAAATACATTAATAATGATTTCAGATCTAAGATAGTGAAGGAGAAGATTCAATTGTTTTCTTTATGAACAAATAACTCTACTGTGAATTTAATTTACACTAAACATACCAACACTACCTATTTCTACCATAGCCTGTCAAATGACCGGACTTTATGTTTCTTCATTGAATGTATGAAATATGGATGTTGGGAAGAAAATAAACTAAAAAAACTTTATTATAATCAACACTAGATTGCCTAAGGAAGTCATTTTGACTTCTTTTAATTTCAATTAGAAAAACACTGATGTATATAATGACTCAATTTCTTAGAATTTTGTACAGTATATAATTTTTTAATGTTAATATTTACTAATAGCTTGTTATATAACTGTAAATAATATAAAAAATATTAATTAATTTTAAACTAATTTCTTTACAGATTATTTATTCTTTTATAATCCAGTCATTTTGACTGCTTTTGGGCAATATAAGTATATACTAAGTTTCAGTCTTTCTAGTGTTAAACAAAATTGCATGTTGCCAATTTTTATGTATTACAAACACAAAGAATAAGAATTTTTAATTCATTGCTCTATGCATTTTTTTTTTTTTTTCATATACAGGGTGTTTCCATTGTACATTTTCTGCAACTATATATCTTCTAATGATTATTATTTCTATAATTCTTATAATTAATATTATTTCTTCTAAGAACTTGTGCCGTCTTCATTGTTTCGACATTTTTCTGGGTAAAAACTAACAGTTAGTTAGAAATGAAGTAAAGCTATCGAAATAAAATATAAGCTACCTACTTACTAAAACATTTAGTTTTTGTCACTTTTTCTGACACAAAAGTGCCATTCTAAAACTTAAGGTACTTTCTTGATATATGCAGGGCCGATTGTGCTCCGGAAAAAATCCGGATTTCCGGAATTTTCGCTAACAGTGATCCGGAAGTTTCCGGAGATCGAAGGTCCAGACGTTTCAAAAAATCATTGATCACAGAAGTTTCCGGAAATCAAATTTTCAAAGGGAGAGCCAGAGAGATACTTTATATATGCTTATATTCATGATTAATATTCATTTTTAATCAGTAAATAGTTGTTATAATCATAAACTCAAGAAAGAAAGACATATTTGTAAATTTTAATTACTTCTCCAGGTCATCATTGGTATGTGTAAAATTTTAAATATATTTTAAGTAAACTAAGAAATATTGAGAAAAAAAGAAAAGAAAACTAGTTTAAAATTTCTTCAATTTAAGCTGCTATTTTTTTTTTTTTTAACACAAAAAATTTTCCGGAATTTCGACTTGGGCTCACAATCACCCCTGTATATGAATTCACAGTTATTCTGATTGAACTCCCTATACAAAAGTCTTTGCAGAAATGTGCAACTGATCGAATGCTATAGGTTGAACACGCATTAAATCGTCATTTCTGATCCGATAACCTTATAAAGCAATAAATTGTTCTCCCCGTCAAATGACCGGTTGTGGTGGAAATAGGTATACGACAAGTATTATTTGAAACCAACAAAATATTTTTAAAAAAATAATAGATTATTAAGTGTATATAATTGTTAGAAGTGTGCAGAAACGATAAGATGAGAAGAAAAATTCACTATAAAAATCCACCCCCCCCTTAATAGTCAGACGAAATATCATTCTGTGCATTTTATTGATTTTGTGACAATTCTATGTTCATCATGCCGATTGCAGTTTTTTGATAACTTTGCCATCTAGCTGCAAACATTCATATCCCTGCTGACATTAAGGCGGAATTCAGCTAAATTTTCGCTATTGACGGCTCATATAAGCCTATCAGAAGCCTGTATTTTTGTAAATATATCGCATACTGCTGTATGAAAAAATACAGGTCCATCGAATTTGCCCATCGTAATTGCGAAATTTAGCTGAATTCGGCACTAGAAAACCATTGATTTATGAAATATAGATTTTTTGTATTCATACGCTAAATTAATGAAGAAGCTAAGATAAAACTGACGAATTTTACAATGTACTGATATTTTATTTAAAAAAAGTTTATCAAAGAAGGAAACCTGAAATAAGCTTTCTATTCAATTTTGGGTCCCCCTCTGATGTGGGGCCCGAAGCAGCTGCCTCTGATGCCCCTGCCTTTGTCAGGCTCTGCTTGCTGACTGTTTCCAAAACTCAACAATTTGCTCACAACGTTTGTAGGTCAAAGACAGAAAATATTGTAAAGAATTCTGAAAGCATACTTAATTAGTTGTTTCTAAAATGTGTACGTGTGTGATTTCGCTGGACTTCAGATAACACAGGACTTTAAAGATTCTGTTTTTTTTTAAGCAAGTTTTTTAACATTGATAGTAAAAATCTCTACTTTAAAAATATGCACACGAATAGGAAATATTTTAAGACCTTACAATAATGGAAGACATTTTTAAAGTTTCTCAAGAAATACTTGAAATATTATTTTGTAACTTTAGTTCGTACAATTTTCCATACTTAGCAATAAGATTTAAAGAGATTAGGGGGACAGACAATAAATTACATAAGAAAACAAGTATTTTTGAAGACCATCTGCCAGAAAATCAAGCAGTAAATTAGTATCGATTACTATGGTTGATATTTCCCATGAATGCATAAAAATTCCTAAATATTTATGGAAATATAGATATTGTTATAAAAAAATTAATTATTTTGTCTTAAGTCTCTTTGCTATAACTTTAAAAATATTCAATAATTTTTTTTTTAAATTGAGCAATTTAAATTTAATTACAAATTTTTTTTAAAATTTAAAGGAAAAAAATCATTTAAAACTGTGCGAAATATGAGTTTTTAAAGTAGTTCTTATATATTGTGTGTGCAGAGGAACAAAAATGTAATTTTTTTTTTTCATAAATTTTTAGCTATTAGACAAAAAAGAGTATCTTGTTTATAAAAATGTCCATATCTCTATAAATATTTAAGCTAGATTTACAAAATTTTATACAAATAACATCCAACTTAAATGAGACAAGCTTATTGCTTGATTTACTGGCATAGCGTGTACAAAAGAACTTGTTTTTTTTTTCGTAGTTTATTATCAGTCCCTCAAATTTCTTACAGTTTTAAACTTTATTGTTAAGTATGAAAAATCGCATCTGAACCTCTAAAATTATGCAATAATCCTCTAAGTATTTCTTGAAAAGTTTAACAAAAATGTCAATTACTGAAAAATCTCTTTCATTATTGTAGGGTAGTGTGTGTGTTTAATATTAAATTATTAACTGCAGAGATGATTGTGCTCCGGAAAAAATCCGGATTTTTCGCTAACTGTGATCCAGAAATCATCTATCACGTTTATGTATAAATTTTTGTATTTTTTATTTAGAAATATTAGAAATAGAATTTATACCTGACATCTCTATCATTTGTAAATATTTGTTTTTGGTAGAATAATAAATATGGTTAGAGATAAAAGTAAACTTATACATAATTATTAATTTGAATTATGCTGCATATAATTTATTTAGTATTTCATGTTGTGGAAATATCAATGATTTCAATTTATAAAAGTATTAATTTTTTGAAATACATCATTAATGATTATACTCAAGAAATTTATAGGATTTTTGAGTTGAGCTCACAATCACCCCTGTATCCGAATGAATATTTTTTTTTCTTAAGTTTTGTGTAACTTTGCTTATAAGATCAAGACTAATCTATGTTGGTTGCCTCTTTAAATCTATCTTATTATCATTTTATTTATTTTTTTAAGCAATGGAAAATGTTATGTTACAATGGATGTTGTGTTTGAGTGCAGACAGAGGTTATATAATATTTTCCTTAAAGGTTTATTTGGTGCCTACTTTTCTGACACTGCTGAAGAAGTTTCTGGCTCCCAAGTTGAGGAGAGCCAACTGTCCGTTCATGAGACCCTGGATGAAGACTCTGAGGAAGACAGGCAAACAACGGCTGTCATGCAGAACTGCTTCACAGCCCTCGTAGAGACCCTCGAAGGCCAGGACGAGAGAACTATTTCTGAAGCACGCAATTTAATACATGAACTCCATAGGATAACACTTCTTTGGGATGAGTTGTGGCTAGGAACTCTGAGCATGCATCAAAGTGAAGTCAATAGGTAAACTAGATTCATTACAATTGTATTTCATAGGTCTAATCTATAAATCACTCGTGGGTACTTAATTTTAAAAAATGAAATTATAGTATTTTAGATGGAAGAAAAGTGCTCAAATGTTATTATATAATATTAATAACAGAGTAAAAAAAAAAGAGCTCAGTAACACCTCCAAGCATGGCAACAGGTGCTGCAAATTATTATTTTTTTTGAAGGCAAACAAATAAATGGCTAAGACTCCTTTTCACAGGGTTACCACGGGTCAGGGAAAACCTGGGATTGTCAGGGAATTTTATTTTAACTCCAAAAATCTTAAGTCTTAAAATTGTCAGTAACGGTAATCAGTTACTGAGATTCGAATTAAATAATTCTTACATCTATTACAATTATTTTTTATGAAAATTTCAAAACTTAGTCAAACTAAAATGTTTCCATCCTCATTTAATAACATTGTTTTTTACACACAAAATCTAATATTTCACAAAACAAATAAAATAATCAAAGTTTTCTGATGAAAATATACTCTAAATTTTCATTGAAATTTACCTGGAAAAGTCAGGAAATTTTTTTCTCACAAATTAAGTGGGAACCCTGTTTTTAAGGAGTGTCTAAACTTGCATCTAATAACAATTTAATGCTGAATCTGGAAAAACAAGGAACAAAACAAAAATTTCTGTTACTTGACTACAGATATAACTTTATTGGGATTCATTCCATTTTTTTATCACTATATATAATTTAACTTAAACATTATTAAGTTTTATGTATAATTTTTAAGAAAATATTTTGCTACATATGTGTTTAATTTATCTGAATCTTTTCGACAATAATCTCTGCCCCGTGCAAATTTACTACCGTTCAGCGGTTTCTTCACTAATTCAACTTAAGGAAAAACGTTAGTTTCACAAAATACTTATAAAAAAGCAAGTTCTGAGATTCCCCGCCTCTTGAAATTGCATTGTTTATATTGCCCCGTAAATGCAAATTTTTTAAAATGAAATAACGAGGCCGCCCCTGGTAGTAGAGTGTCGAAATTCGAACTATTGTCTTAAACATTATTCTAAATTTATTCTAATAAGCCTTTTTTTATTTTTATTATTTAAAATTTTTTTCTCTGTGAAACTTTTCTGTATGATCCAGTCTAAAATAATCTCATAATGAATATATACTCTTATAGTGTTAGTACTGTTAAATTTATGTTTTTATTAAATTTAACTATTGACAGTGATTTTCATGATTTTTGTAAATTAAGGTACAATTTTAAGCCAATTAGCAAAACTGTTTTTGAACACATGGGAAAAATATATATAAAAATTTACCAGTCATAAATTATTTTTATTTATAGTAACAGGGGTGATTGTGCTCCGAAAAAAAATCTGGATTCCTGAATTTTTGCTAATTGCTATCCGAAAGTTTCCGGAAATCCAAAGTCCAGAAGTTTCAAGAAATCATCAATCACATTTATATATAAAAATTCTTGTATATTTTATTTAAAAATATTAGAACTAGAATTTATACTTGGCATCTCTTTCATTTGTAAATATTTTTTCTGGTAGAATAATAAATGTGATTAGAGATAAAAGTAAACTTACACATAATTATTCATTTAAACTTTACACTAATAATCTACTGGGTCGCAGAAAAATTCAGATTTATGTTGATATCCTGCTGAATTACTCAGCAGGGGACTGTTTAGAAGAAATTTGGGTCCCTTAACGGACCCTTCACGAAATATCTTTTCATAAAAACGGGCCCCTCACAAAATATTTTAACTTAAAAACAGACCCTTCACAAAATGATTTTTCTTTTAATCGGACCCTTCACAAATTTGTATATCTTCATTATTGTTTTGTTAATCGAATAAACCCTTCCTAGGGTGAAAAAAAAGAACGATTGATGTAAATGAATTAAGTTTTGTTTTTGGCAGACGCTTCTTCCATTATTTGCCTAAAATGAATATTCTGCTTTAGCAGTATATGCTAAATACCAAATATTTGTATGTTGCATCTCTAATTTAGAAGCAGCAAGTGCTGTTTATTTTTGAAAATTTTATTATTTTTTTTAAAATTATAATTTTACAGTGCTGAGCATAATCTTGTTATCTATTTACAATTTAAAAACTCATTGAAAAATTTTTCTGCAATAAGGATCCCATTTGCACAAATTGCAAACCCCATTTGCAAAGCAGGACCCTGGTTGAAAGGACCCTGGTATTCACAAATTAGGAGTAATTTTTTCAAAATTTTACAAAAACAGGACCTTTTACAAAATGTCTGGACAGACCCCTGATTGAATCACCAATGCTGCTCTTATACTTATAAAAAAACTACTTTTATTGCAGGCGATTTTCAAATTTGGATAAAGAGATTGGAAAAGTGATGGGCAATACATATTTAAATAAAGAAGAAAAGAAAGAAATTATCAAAGAAAAGCACAATGTTTATGTGAAACCTGTAAGTTTTTTTTTAAATAATAATACTTAGTTAAAAGTATTTACCAACATCATGAAAGTATTATGTTTAAATGTATTATATTATCAAGAATTAATAATAATGTAGAATAAATAAGAGAAATGTCAAACTTTTGTTTTAGTCTCTCATTAAATTGCATTTTATGCACATAAAAGTCCCTAGCTGTAGTCTAATTCTATCATAAAAATCAAAGTGTTATAGAATATCAGCATGTTCTTACTCAGTTTCTTCTTTTTATCATAATGTGACAAAAAAAAAAAAACAGGTTTGTGCCCTAAAATCAGTAAAAAAAAAATACAAGGTTTTAGAAAAATCAATTATTTATTTTTAATTCAAATAATAGCAGTAGAACTTAATAAAGGTATTTTAATGCATTTTGGATGGAAAAATAATTCAACGGATGCTTTTCTTCCTATTAAGTCCCAGTAAAGTTTTAATGAGATATTAACTTAGAATAATTTGAATAATGAGAAATTAACTTAGAATAGAGAATTGGCAAATAGTTATTTGGCCGAATACTGAATATTTGTTAATATTTCCGACTATTTCCTTTTTACCAGGATATTCTCAATTGTCTTCGTATTTGTTGAAGAAATTTTAAAAAAAAGAATTTTGGTAATAAAATATCCGCTGATGGCAAAAATACTTCTCTTATTCCTCAACAGATGGTGCTATTGCCAGTACTGCAGTATTTTGAGTGTTTATAGTTTAAGTGATTATAAATAATGGCCTAAAAAATCTTCTCCAATTTTGACTTTCATGATTATGCATGATGTATCAAAACTTTACTCATAGCCTAAAAATGTAGATAGTAAGATCTCCGTTATTTTATTTCTCCAATGTTGACAGGTATGCTATTTATTTTAACTCATCTCACTGTGTTTATTTAGACCCAGCTGGGCCATTTCTCTATCCTGAGGAAAAATTCTGAAGAGGATATTCCATACTTCAATTATAAATATCAAAATTTTTAAAAAAAATTTTGTTTTTTCTTCTTCACAAAAATGGTTTTTTGTTCAAAGTATCGCAAAAAAATTGTTTTTCCTGAATATTTTGCTAAAAATATATATTGTGATAACTGAAATTTTTTAAAGTTTATCGCTGAAACGAAACAAAAAATGGTATCATACTGTGAATGAGCAAGTTTAAATGAACTGCTGCGTCTGCACATCTGTCGAGAATGTATTAATAAATTGGGCCCCAGACTTGCCAACTCTCCCGCATTTTTGCAGTGATTTCTGCCTACGTCTTTGTTGGTCCGAAATATCTTGAATTCCTACCAATCTCGGGGGATTTGAAATGACCAGTTTTTTCTCCAGAACAAGTTGTGTATTCATTTCCATCTAATTCGTGTATAGTTGAATTCATTTCCGGAAAACTGATGGCATTATTGCACTATTCTGTTAATAGATCACTCCTTGAGTATTGATGGTGGATTTTCAGTGACAGATCTTCTAAACTTTCACTTCATTTCAATCATTTTTTAGTATGATATTAATTATGATAATTCTAAGTGCTCAAAGTGTGTTCCTAAAAGAACTTGAGGGCTTCTTATTTATCTTATTACTTATTTTTAAGAAGATATGGAGATATGAAAATATTGCGATTTAATCAAAATTAGGCAATTATTTAATATTGTTTGCGTTATTTTTTGTTTGAATAAAGAGTGCTACAAAAGTTTCCCATATGCACCCTCTGCGCATAACTTGAAAAATAATATTGCACAGATTTAACATTTTTCTTTCTTTACTTTATTTTGCAGACCTTGTTCCTGTTAGAACAATTACAAGCAATAACAAGTCAGCCTGCTGAAACACCCCATGAACAGTGGTTCCAAAAAACATTTGGAAAACAAATCGAAGAGACTATTAACAAACTGAGGAATCCAGAGGATCCATCAAGACCTCAAAATAGCTGGTCTGAGTTCAAAAATGTAATTAATCTCTCCTGATATCTATATAAAATTATGTTGTACAAAATCATCAATATGTGAGAGGAAACTTCCTAACTGTTTTGCACTTATTGCAAGACATTGCTTTAAAAAAATGGGTTGAAATAGAGAGATATATCGATTATTACCTAATTTTGAAAGGGGAAATGTTTACTTAAAAAGATTACTTGAAATTGTTCTTTTTTAAATGTACTACTTTTTTTAGACAGGGTTCATTAATATACTTGTTCATTGATATATTTTTTCTCGGATGAAGAACTTGTATTTTCATGGAGAATCTATACTTGTGTAATTGACCAATTTTGTCAAAACCAATATGTGTATATGTCTCCTTTGAGGCAATTTAAATGCATTGGGTAAGAAATCTTTTTAGATACTTGTGTAAAATCCCATTGACTATTTATAAAAATTCTTTTTATAAAAGCTTTTATTATGTAATTAAGAGGGTTTCTTTATTCCTCACTTTTTCTTGAAAATATCGTAATTGGGATGTTAAGCTTTAAGATTTTCTTTCAAAAATTAAGCTTGATTTCTTTACGTTATGCAAATAACACAGCTAAGTTCTGACTATTTTTCAATATTGACTTAACTTATAAGTATGCAAAATTATTTGTACCTATTTTTATACATATAAAAATATACTTATTTTTACTTATATAAAAAAAAATTGTTATTTTGCCAGGTTTTTTTTTAAGCTGAATATTCGGCTATTCACCAAATCTCGATTCGTTACGTCCCTCATAAAAACATTATATTCTACAAGCTAAACATATTTTTTTCTTCGCATTTATCTTAATTATTTAAAAAATTAATACTGTACCCAATTATTAAAATTTTGAAAAAGCAAAAACAATATCCTTGCTAATTAAAATAAATCTAATCTGATTTTTTTTTTTTAAAGATTATATACTAATAAAATTACATTTTAGATAAAATACTTGAGAATATTGACACTTTTTTAAACCATTTTATACTTTGTGGGGACAAAAAATACAGTAACCTGAAGCTTCAAAACTTTTACCTGGAAAATGGGGGAAATTTTGAATTTGAGTGGCTACCACTCTGTTGTTATTTTTTGTTGTGAAAGTTTGCATTTTTAACTTCTCTATAGCTGCACCAGTTACTCCAACAAAAAGTTCATCAACAATCAAGATCTCACCTTAACATGGAGCAAATAAGTCCCATTCTTGCATCACTGAAATCGACTGTTATACCCATGCCTGGAATCAATAAGCAATTTGGTGGCGTCACTGTGCAATCAGTGCATAATGTTGTGTCTGTCCTACCTACTAAAACAAAACCAAAGAAATTGGCATTTATTGGATCTGATGGACAAAGGTATTCATTTATTTTTTAATTCTTAGTTCTGTGTGCTTGTGAAAACTCTTTCGATATATATACAGTGAAACCTCCCGTTATGGACACTCCTGCAAAACGGACGCCTCTCAATATGGACATATTTTTAATGAAAATAATCTATGAAAAAGCCATTATGTACATTCGCCGCAAAGCTGACACTACCATAACTGAACGCAGACAGTCATTAAATGCTCTCAATGCTTCTTCCCCACTGAAAATGTCTTTCATTTTTCTTATCAATTTGAAGACTGTATTTAACATGGCTGAGGTTAAAAAAAGAGAGAGAGAGAGAGAACAGAAGTATAATCTTTGAGGTGTTCATATAAATGAAACGTTTATTCAGACACTTGATAGATAATCAATTGTGAATAATCCACTCCATAAGACCTCATGACTTTCTGTGAATCGTGGAAGGTTTACTTTCAAGGAGGTATGAATCAAGTTTCCTATCAAGTGATGGGTAGGTGTTAGGGTATGTAAACCTAATAATTGAAACCGACTGAAAACTGAAAGCTCCTATTAGGTATTATATGTCTAACCTGAATATCTGTGCTAGTAGGAAAAATATATTCATTTATCTGTAGCTACATCTAGAATTATGAATTTATATCAAGCTTTTTAATATATTCTTGTTTATCAAAAAAATATTTCTTAAAGTTTAAATAAATAGCCTTGTAGATAGTTATTGTAGATTATTTCTATATATTTGAAAATATTCTAAAAACAATTTATGATGTTTAACTTCATTATTTGGGTACCCTTTCGTGAATGGACAACTCTTGTAAACGGAAAATTTTTTCGATCCCAAGAACGTCCGCTTAACCGAGGTTTCACTGTATACATATAAATATATACATAACTGCCAACTCCGATTTTTTAAAAATTATTCGTTTTTTTAATTAATATCTTCTGATTTTTCCACTTTCTTTGCTTTATCGCGAAAATCTGATACAGCAGCGCTACGATTTCAAAATACGTCATAAACTTGAAGAACCAATCCAATTCCCCCGGATCATATGACCACTGTGTAAGCTGGAACGTAACCTCAGTGAAGAGTATGGAGAAAACTAATTACTCGCAATCAAGTAATTAGTTTTCATTTTAGTAAACGTTCTAATCTAATGGCATTTGAGTAGATTGTTATGTTTTCATTAGAAGTTGTTTTCTAGGTCTTTCGTACTCTTAATAATGTCGAAAAAAAACTTATTTCTATCAAAATTTTAAAGAGTTTGATTTTATTCAAAAGTTGGTAAAAGGCAATGATTTTCCTTTTTGTATTCCATGTCGAACATTGCGCACGGTGGACATAGCGATATTATTGTCCATATGGGCACATCAAAACATGTGAGAAATTTTTCAGCCATTGAAAATTGTTGAAAAATAGGAGCCAGCTTACTAAGTATAATATATTGAAGACATCTATTACTACTCAAAAATTCACTTCATGGAAAAGGTACAACTATATTTATTGAATATAAATCTTTAAATATAAAGTAAGAAAAACTACATTCAAATAAACTAAACATAACTCTTTAACATCACATAGCTCTTTCTAAACATAACATAAGAGAAGAAACATCCTCTAACCAAAGCAAAGATATAACTAACTAAAACCAGAAACACCCACTTCCTTCTAGCTGAGATAACAGGAAGTGACCCAACTTCCCACAGGAAGTGACACAGCCAAGAGGAAAATACTGTTTACATTTCTATTTCCCCAACAAAAATAACAAAAAGCTTGATCTTTTTGTGACGAATGATAATGATAAAACAGTGATTAGGTCTGAATGTTTGTTTACTGCCTTTATAATTGAGCATAATTTGCCAATTAGTTGTGCCGATCATGCTGGACAGTTGTTCAGAAAAATGTTTCCAGACTCAAAAATTGCCAAAAAATATGGATGCAGAAGGACAAAAAAATCGGCAATTGTGCATGAAATCGCATCAAAAAAAGAAGAAAACGTAATAGAAGCACTTGAAATTAGCCCTTTTACAATTTCTGTAGATGGTAGCAATGACAGTGATTCGAAATTGTATCCAATTGTTGTTAATTTTCATAATTATCAAGTTAATTCTTCTCAGGCTAAAGTTGAGTGCATTTTACTGTCCCTACCAGTCTTAATACGAGATTCTACTGGTGTAAATATTGGGAATTTAATTTTAAGTAATTTAAACTCACTTCAAATATCGATTGAAAATTGCATCGCCTTAAGTTGTGACAATGCACCTGTGATGGTAGGGCAAAAGGCAGGTGTAATATCAGTATTACAAAAAGCAAATGGAAATATTGCACTGCTATGTTGTTGTTGCCATTTGGTGAACTTAACAGCAGAGAAAGGCTCTGCGATGCTTCCTTTTCAGATTGATGAACTTCTCATTGATGTGTATTACTATCTTGAGAAAAGTTCTAAAAGAAAAAAGCGACTCAGATAATTTCAGAAGCTGCATGACACTGAGGTAAAAAAAAATTCTGAAGCATGCTTGCACTCGTTGGTTGTCAGTGGCAACCCTTATTAAGATTCTTCAAAGATTGCTGTAAGTCCAAGGTCAGTAGTTCATCCTTATCTGACTATAAAATTCCCAAAAGTCAGAATGATAGTGCCAAGTGTGTTAATTCTTCAAGAAGTATCTCTACTGAGTCTTCAAGTAAGAAGCGGAAAGTAGATGAAGTATATGATTTTAAGAAAGGATCTTCCAGCATCCTTTCTCGAGAAGAGAGACTTTTATTTTCTCTTTAACGATTTAAATAAAGCTTATTGCTTATTTCTTTTAAATGTTGTCAATTTGTTTGATACACTTAATACCTTTCTGCAATCCAACTCACCTCAAATTCATGTCCTTAGGTCAGTCCTCTTGAGTTTTTTGAAGGATATTCTTGTAAGATTTGTCAAACCTGCTGTTATGCAGGATTGCCAATCTTATTTGGATATCAATTACAATATGCCCTCAAATCAAAAAAATGATCCTGACTTGATTGTAGGGATTGTGATAAAAAGAATTTTTTTAAAGTTGTAAGAAAATATTTCTGTACAATATTTGACTACATGCGTCTACAATTTCCCTTTCAAAGTGAAATTTTGTTTCATGCAGCCATAGCTGATATTAGAAACATTCAAAATGCTTCATTCACTAGCATAAAATTTTTCATAGAAAGATATCCAATTATGTTACAAGTAGCTAATTAGGAAAAACATTTGATAATTGACAAACTGCGGCAGGAGTTTTGTGAACTTCAAATTGAAAAAAAATTAATAGAATCAGTTGAGGAGGAGAAAATAGATAAGTACTGGGCAAGAATTGGAGAAATAAAAAGTGCATCTGGTCAACAAAAATATAAAACACTATCCAAATTCATGTTGTCTGTGCTATCTCTCACTTATTCAAACGCTGAATGTGAACATGTTTTCTGCAAGGTGAAGAAGACCAGAACTTAATTTAGGTCATCATTTAGTGATGATATGCTTGAAAAAATTATTTAAGCAGATTATTTTTGTAAAGATCAAAAAATTTTATGAAATTTCATTTGATGACCAATTTTTAAAAAAAGGCAAAAGCATGCACTTATCAATCTTTGAAAAAATAATTATATTATGTGAAAATAATTTCTATCGATTTTTTGCCTATCTGTAATTCTATCTGTCTTTTATTATAACAAAGTTTTTTTATTTCATTGATTGTAATTTACTTCAAATATTGTTAAATGTTTGTATAGTTGTTTAAAATTTATTTTCCCAGTTTAATTAAATATACAAATTATTTGAGTTATTCTTTTAATTGACCAGTTTCTTTACATTATTGACTTTCTCTCAAGGACCGTGAATAGACTTGAAATCTTCCTTTTTTAAAAAATCCAATGTTGGCAGCTATGTATGTATGTATAGAGAGAGAAAACATGAAAAATAATAAAGATTAATGAAAAGAGAAGAAGAAAAGTTATTAAAATATTTTTAAATAATATTTAAAATATATATATATATATATATATTAAAAAGCCGGAGAGCAAAAAGATAAATTAGATGAATGAAAAATTCGATCCTCTTAAAGGATCCTTTTCCTTTTTACCTAACTTATTTTTACACTTATCTCAGCTAACTTATTTTTACACTTACGAAAAAAATTATACTCTTAATATAAATTAGTTTTTAGATTTATTGATTATTTAATTATTTTTAATTTTCAAGATTAAGCAATTTTGTTAAATAAAATTTACCCCGAGGTATTAATCTTGCTTCGTAAGAATGATGCGTAAGAATGATGATATTGTTAATTTAAATTTTTTTGATTTGGATATTAAAAAAGAAGAAAATATCTACTTAGTTGATTTGCATGATAAAATAAATTATTTTTATTTTAATATAAATAAACTAATTACTTGAAATTCTATTGTTTCTGAAACTGTTTAAATACCATTTTTAATCAAATAAATAGAATTAAAAGAATGTGTAATGTTTATTTAATCTAAAAAACAATAGACAAACTCTTTCAAAATTTGATTTAAAAAAAAATTAAGCTCTATTAAAAACCATTGAGTTAATTGTATGTTATTGTTAATAAATTTACTACTCTTTTGCTAATTTATATTTTTACGATGTGCAAATCTGTGGCTAACAAGGTTGCCACAGGTGACTAAAATGCGACTATTTGCAACTATTTTTGGCCTGAGGTGAATATGGCAAAGGCTAAATGAGGTGATATGAAAGGCTAAAAAAGCATCTATTTCCAGGAAAAAGAGACTATTGGGAGACTTTTCTGTACTCCTAGAGATGTTTTTTTTTAGCATAAATTGGATCGGCAACCTGCGGTCTGCAGAGCTTCTGAACACAATGAATTTCTTTTTCTTAAAAACTAAGAAAAATTTAAAATTTTGAATTGCACTTCTGAGTCTACACTTTTTAATGCCCTCAATATGCACAGATTTCATTGTAAGTCTATGTTGTGTTTTAATCGCTTTTTCAAGGGTTATTGCTATGAAATTCTGCATTATTTTTTAAAAAAGAGAAAATTTTTAATACGATATTACGATGCGTGCATTTTGAATTTGAGTTATCACTTATCACAATATATATGTATCTATATATATATTTGCTAAATTAATTGTTGATAAAAGGGAAAAGTTTTTAGAAGAAAAAATTTTTTTTAATGAAAAAGTATTTTTTGAATGAATTCTAGTAATTAAAAGTATTTAATTTTCTGCAAATATACTAATTTATTTCATATAAAAATTTGGTGCTATAACTCTAACATTTATATAAAAATTATCATATTTGCTACCAACTTGACTAAATGGATCATGGTATATGACAATTAAGTCATTTAATACAATTTTAGTAATATTACTGAAAATTTTCTGCTATTATTTAGGCAACTACTATTTTCTGGCTACTATTTTCACACTTTAGGCTACTAAAAACTATTTTGTTCATTTTTTTCTGTGGCAACCTTGGTGGCTAAACATCTGTACAAAACAGGCAAATCATGTTTCTCTATTCCTTTTTTTTTAAAAAAAATAATAAGTATTACTTTCCTGAAATCATCAAAATTGTAGAATTGAATATCATCCTTATTAATTATTAACTTTCAATTACCCAGTATAATATTACCTTGCGCACATTCATTTCCGGGCCAATCCAAGACAACTAACAAATCAAACCCGGTTTAATACTGAAGTAAGAACATGCCATAAAAAATCCTTCTGATTCCATGTGTATTTTTATTTTCATATTTTGTAATCTGATAATCTTGCTACGAAAAAATTTTAAATCATTCGTAAAAGATGCCGATTTGTGTAAGTTCTTTTGAATTCGCTACTTGCTTTATAGATTTTGTTTTGCGTTTTGTTCTGTATTTTCTTAAATTTTTTTTGTCTGTTATTTATTTTTTACTTAATGTGTTCCATTTTCTTTTAAATGTTTGTTAAAATTTCTTTTTGAGTGCTCCTCCCACTATTGTGCCGATATAATCGTGCTAGCTGATGAAAAGATTAATTTTTTTCATTATTTTGTTTTCTGGCTTTTTAATATAAATTATTTTTTTAAAGATTTTATTTTAATAATTTTCCTTCTTCTCTTTTCATTAATCTTTATTATTTTCCATATTTTTCTCTCTCTATTTTTTAAGCTTGTTTTATGAGTTTTATATAGTTGCAGCTTATGCGCAGTACCTCTTAACCTCTTAATTTTCTTCGTTTTTCACTTTTTTCTTTTTATCCATTTTGTCTCTCTTTCTATATATATAGATATATATATGCTTGCATGTTAAGCATATTATATCAAATTTAATTGACAGAAACTATAAAAACAATTCTTGTGTTTCTGCAGACAAAGGTGCAACCCACATTTATCGCATTTAAAAAGTGTGTAACCTGATCTTGTGTCACATTTTCAAGACAAAGATTCAAACATCATGAACGAAACGCTATTTATAGTTTAATGCAGATTTATTAAAATGAGTGTTGATATAATTTGTGCAGTGTTTGTTAAATGTGTTTGCAAATGAAGCAACTTTATGCATTTTAGGTACACTTATCTCTTCAAAGGTTTGGAAGACCTTCATTTAGATGAAAGAATCATGCAGTTTCTTTCTATTGTAAATAACATGTTTGCCAAAAATAAAAGGTATTCTTCATTTTTCTCCTTGCTCCTCTTAAAATATCATTAGATCATTTTTAACCACATAATTAGAACAATAAAGTATTTGGTTAAATTAATTTACAGAAAATTTTTAAATTTTCATACACAAGTGTATATTAATTCTATGCATGTAGAAACTTCAATATTAGTGCTAAAAAAAGTTTGGGCTTTTTTTTTTTTTTTTTGCAAAATTAATTTATTTTATAAAATCTGCAGAGTGTTATACTGTTGTGCCGCATGAATAGTATAATAATTCAAGCCTGCCTTATATAAAATTCTACTTAAGCATAGTGATAAATGTTCCTAAATATTATCGTTGTCATAAATAACAGTGTATGAATCACCTTTTAATTTCAAATAAAAGTCATAAAATAAAATGGTTTCTGTGTTGATGATTTATTAACTAATTTACCTAAATTATTACCTAAAATTCAACAAATATTTCATGTAAGCAGTTGTATGGATACTTTTATTATTTGTTTGTAACTATATATGTTTTAATTTTTTTAATTGCACAACATGTTTCACATGTTTGTTTTTTATTTTCATAAGGATTGAAAGTCATACAAAAGTATTACTAATTATGATAACAATATTTCTAAACATTAAGTGGATCGCAAAAAAGTTTGTAATAATTTTTGTATGAAAATAGGGTTAAATTCATTCACAAAAAATTCGTCCAAGGACTAGCGAATGGTGATTTCTTGTGTTATGTATGGATAAAATTAGATAAACTGCTAACATAGTTGAGAGGCTAAAAATAAATGGAGAAATAAAAACGACTTCAATTGTCTAGCCAATTCTTCTATTTGAGTCATTCAAACTGAGGAAAAGTGGATTATCATTATTTCCCCCCATTTTCTACAGTATTAAATTTACACAAAATTCATACCTGTAGTTTTAAGAATATTAAAGTATTTTTTTTATCAACTCTACAATCGTTTTGATATTGATTTTGACTGCTGTTGTAACAAAAGCAGGGTTGCAAAAAAAAACAACCTACCCATAGAAACCCGGGTGGTTTTTTTCTAAAATTTATTTCTTTTTAATCTTCTGTTATATTAAAGAGCTATTCTATTGAAATATATATGTAGTCTAGCCTAAAAAAATGCACTTATGATGAAAAAACTAACAAGAGTCTGAAAAGAAAAATTATTTGTGGAATTCAGGAAGAAAAATGTATAGGTTTCATACAAAAAGGAAGAAAAGAAAAAAACAGAATAATTTGAGTAACGATCAGGTTATCAGTGTTATAATACACTCTAGATTTGACTATATGGCCATTGATTAGTCAGTGCCTTTAATTCGCTTTCTATGCAAAAAAAGAATTCCTCAGATATTTTTTCAGATTAAAATATGAATAAAAAGTAATCCTGTGTTAAAATAAGTTTTAAATGTGTGATGTACGTGAGTACATATAACATTTTGTATCGTGATGTCAGAATAAACTTTTTTCAGACAATTTATCTGTATTAATTATTAATTACCTATATTACCTTTGATTACCTATAAAGTCAATTCATAAAATTAAACTTACTTATTAATATAAGCTTTTTACTTATCCCTGCCCTCTCTATTGAAAAAAGAACCCAATAAAAGATGAAAAACCACCCGACTTGGGTTATTTGGGAAAATCCAGGTTTATTTTTTCAACCCTGAACAAAAGTGCATTCATAACAGTCTGATTTTAATTATTGTTCACAGGCATGGAAAGCATTACGCTCGGCATTATTCTGTCACTCCTCTGGGACCTCGATCTGGCCTTATCCAGTGGGTTGATGGTGCATCTCCTCTCTTTGGACTTTATAAACGGTGGCAACAAAGGGAAGCTAGTTCCTTGAAAGTAATATCTCTCTCTTCTAATGTATTTGTTACGTGCATCAATTCTAAAATGTTTTAGTCAGTACAGGGATGAGATTTTTCCGCTTTTTAGCGGATTTCCGTTTTTTTTCTTCCACTTATATCTCTTAAATTTCAGCTTTTTTATCAAAAATTCAGATTTTCTAAAAATTTAATTTTTTTTTTTTTACAAGTATTTCGCTTTTTCAGAAAATTCACCGATTTAAGAGAAGCAGAAAATTCAAACTGCATAGCTACCAATCCTTTCTCATTTTTACTTATTTTACCTATTTTCTCCCCTTTTACACGCAGCAGATAAGATTTTCCGAATTTTTTACCCGCCCTCCAGATAGATCCAATTTTCATAGTTCAAACGACGCTGCTTCTGACAAGCCTTTTAGAGGTCCCAAGCCTGGAATCTGCTAATATCTTGATTCCTATTCACACGATTTTAATATCAAACATAACTTTTCATATTTGCGTGTTGCGATTCTTATTCACGCGATTTGAATATTGTACGTTGAGATTCTTTTTTACGAGATTTAAAAATCCGATATTGTGATTCGTATTTACGTCTTTTTAAAAACCTATGTAGCGATTCGTATTCACGCAAGTTTAAAATTCAATGTGTTGATTTGCTCATGCGGTTTATAATATCAAACATTGATTTTCGTATTTATACGTGATTTTAAAATAAGGCATTGGGATTCGCATTCACGCATTCTAAAAGTTATGCATCATAATTCTTATTTATGCAATCTAAAAATTACGCATCATGATTCGTATTTACGCGATCTAAAAATTATGAATCGTGATTTGTATTTACGCGTTTTAAAAATTCTATATCCCAGTTTGTATTTTCTCATTTTCAAAATCGTATATCTAGTTTCATATTCATGTGATTTCAAAATCCATAATTGTTATTCATATTCACGCAATTTTAAGATCAACTATCGCGATTCTTGTAAGAAGTAAATTTTTTTTAAATTAGTTACTATAAAGGTGACTGTTTTTCTAACGACGATTATTAGTATATGTAAGTGTTACAACATCAGAGAAACTGGAAGGGAATATATTCAAAACTTACATTCTGTGCTTGCAAAGAAGAAAAAATAGGATTTGTCACAAGATGTTTGAAGATGGACTAACGACTAAATATAGCAAACATAAAAGATATAGCAAACAAAAGCAATCACTTAAAAAGGGATTTAATTAAAAAAAAATTTTGGGGGAAAAAGAGTTAATTAACTCATCATCAAAATTTTATTTATAATTGCTGTTATTTATGCTATAAAATGCAAAATTCTTATCAAATAAAAAACAATTATCTAAACAGTTGCTGATTGTCATGTAATTTTTCAAACTAAAATAGCAATTTTTGTATGTTAAGGAGTTACTATATATTTCTACTTCACTGTTATTGATATGTTTCAGAGGGCTCTAGTTAGATTAGACTATAATATGAACATAATGATTCGGTCCATTGTTAAAGTTTTTTTTTCCAATATAATTTAAAAAGTAATATTACTGATATATTTGCTATAAATCACATAACAGTATTTATTAAAAGAAATGAAATATTAATGTATATTCTCAGTAGTTTTAATTTGCTAAACCAGGTAGTTTTTCAAGTAATAATTGTCTCTTATGTGAACTGAGGAAAAATATAATTTCCAGCTTTATTTTTTCAATTGGTAATTTTTATTTTCACTAAATGTTAAGTATCAATGTAATCATTTATATAATAATAGATTAGTACACAATTGTATGTCAACACATTATTTATTACCTTAAACTGTCTGGAATTTATTATTAAAGGGTTGCGCTTGCGTAAAATTTACTATCGTGAAAATTCAGCTTTTTTGCGTTTTGGCTAATCTCATCCCTGTCAGTAGGATGTGTAGCATTTTTGACCAAGGTTTAATTGGTAAATGCTGAGGTCTGCACTTTCTCAGATCATTTCTTAGTAGTTTGAAATTTTCTCTTATAGTTTCAGAGTAGCCTGATTCAAAATCAACCACTTCTACTCTTCCGTTGGTCTTAATTGTGGTGGTGCAATGCATGCATGCTTGTGTTTTTAAGACATTTAGTAAAAATTAATTATCTCATCAGGGTATTTTTCTCATTTCATTTATATACAAAAAGCTTAAGGATACAGAGAGAAAGAAAAGTATAACAGCATGTTCCACAATTTACAGTAAATTATCAAAATATTAAATATCTTTGTGATTTACAGGAAGAAATTTATTCTATAAAATAATGCTTATTGAGGTTAACATGCAGTAGAGGCCAGAGCATTAAATTGTATTTGTTTGTCTAAGAAGTAATGAGCATAGAAGAATTCCTTTTTATACAAATTATTTTAAAAGAGAAAATAACAGAGAGATGTAATTTTTTTTAAAAAAAGTAAGCTTTTGCTTAACACGATAAATTTTACGAAATTTCATAATAAACAATAGAGGAAATTTTTTTTTTCAGTAAATATAATATATGATCCAATAATTAACACTAAAAATTTATTTATTATTAAGATATATAAGTATTATATTTTCTATGAAGTGAAATGTTATACTTCGAGATATGATTTTTGAAAGAGGAAAACAGAAAATTCGGATATATTATTTAAAAATTTAAAAAAAAAATGTTCAATAAATAATATAATTAAATAATATGATTTTAATATTCTATGTCAATTGTCTAAAATTTCTAAACAAAAATGAATATGAATTAGTTTTATCAAAGTATGCTTAATATTTTATGGACTTCTCACCTATTTTCAAATTTCTGGCTCAAAAACAAATTATTTTCATCTACTCTGCATTTATCAGGGATGAAAGACTTCAGTGAAAAAACAGAAATCCGCTGTTTTCTCACAATTTTAAAATTTCCGACAATATTTCAAGAAATTTTGGGAGGTCCAATTATTACAGACCCTCCCCCAATGACGGCCAAAACCCGAGCTGCTCGAACGGTAGACGTACTAGGAACGAACTTTTTTTTCCTTTCGTGCAGGAGCCTCCTGAGAAAGAATTATCGCCAGAAGAAAATGGGTGAAGCTTCGCCTGGTGCACGGTTGGTTTCCTTGACAACCACTAGTACGCTGTAGAGCAGAAAAGATGAGGTTCTAGGTTGTTAAATTTTAAGCAGCTTCGCATTGGCCGCTGATATATGATCGAGGTTTTCCTCATTTGCGCCTCTGTACATTATAGTTCTCTTGACTCCACAAGTACTTATTTTTCATTTACTTGTGTCCTTTTCACATTGTGCATCGTAAGATGAATGTATTTTAACGATGGAAGTCAATTTGATAGACGAACACAAAAAGCGTACGACTGCTGCTGAAAAATAAATAATTTCAAGTTTGATTGGTTAAATAAAATAGCCAGGGACTAAAATTGTAAGTAACAATCTATCAGAAGATATTGAGGTGAAAGTTAGCGACTTTTAATTTAAAAGTATTGACTGGCAATTCATTTAAAATGATAATTAATATGCTTTATTTATTGCTTAATCTTCTTTAATATAGTAGTGGTTAAAGAAGTTTAAAATTATATTTAGGAAAATTTAAATTTCGCTGTCAAAATGCTTCTTACGGCAGAGTTATATGTTTTTATATATCTTATTGATATCACAGTATTACGTAGAACACTCCCTCACCCCACCTTCCAGTGTTTTCGTTGTAAAAGTTCTTTTTTTTTTAAAGTCCATTTTCGTGTCTGATTTATTTAAGATTAATAAAACAATTGTAACCATACGGTTAATTAATGGATATACTGTAACCAATTAAGTGTAAATGACAGCAGGACAGTTTTATTTTGCAGACCTGTGTAAGTGACTAGTTCTATTGCTGTTTCTTAAAATACCTCAATACATATAAATTCCACATTTTTATTTATTTTTTTCCAAATCAAAATAGTTTTTCACAATATCAAGAATAAATGATTAATAATTTAATTATTTATGAACTAAATTTACCTAATTTATTACTAAATTCTATAAATTGTTTATTCTAAGTAATTATATGGCTATACATTTATTTTTGTTTATAATTCTAATTTTTTTATATATACTTGCAATTGCGCAATATATTGCAGTGTTTTCATTTTATTGAAGTAATTACTGGAGATGGGAAGGTACATTGATTTATCCTGGATAGAATTTTAAGTTAACACTTCCAAATAGAAAAATTTTCTCGATTTCTTCCACTCTCTGGAAAAACTGCTTAAATATCTGCAGTCATGAAGTATAGAACTGCTTAAATATAGCAGTCATGAAGTTTTAAATTTAAGCAGACAAAATATTTTTGCTTTTTCTTAAAAGAATGGTATGTGTTTATTTTCTTTTTCGAAACAATTAACATTGTTATTGAAAAAAAATATTCCCAAGTTTGAGGAAAAAAGTTCTTTGAATGAATAAAAGAATTTTTTTATTGGCAATTTTACATGAATGTCAATATTGTCCGTTCAATTTAGATTTATCTCAAAACATTCACATTGTAATTAAATTCTATTTAAAGAAATTATTTCCCTAAACCTTATTTCATCTGATTTATTTTTGTCTTCTTTAGAATGCCTCATCAAATGTAGGAATTCTGCGACCCTCCGAAATATTTTACAACAAGCTGACACCTTTGCTGAAAGAAAAGGTAAGGAAGAAAAAGAAAATCTCTTATTGACTATTTGGGTTGGATGAAATCATAGTTCCTATTCACTCTGAATAATACATTTATTTTCTAATTGCTTTAAAAGTATATTCATTTTAGTTTATCATATCAGGGGATTACAAACAAAATCTTTTATCTTATATGGAAATTCTTGTTAGAAAAATTTTATTTAGGGGATCGAATCAAGAGTTCTTTCATCTGATTTTGTATAGATATTTTAAAGAAACCTTTTCTGTTTTTAGAATGTTTCTCTGGATAATCGTAAAGAATGGCCTCTGTCTGTTCTCCTGGATGTTCTAAAGCAATTAATGAGTGAGACTCCAGATAACTTACTTGCAAAGTACGTACTATAATCGTTTTTCTAAATAATTATTTTAAAAAACACTGTTTAAGAAAATGCCATTCTCTGTTTTTGTTTTAGAGAGCTCTGGTGCTCTTGCAGTAGCGCCCTTGAGTGGTGGAATATTACCCAAACATATAACCACTCAACTGCTGTTATGTCTGTCATAGGTTACATTATTGGTCTTGGAGATAGGCACTTAGATAATGTTCTTGTGGATCTATCTACTGGAGAAGTATGTATTCATCTTTAACATTTTTAATATTTCATTTACATATGCTATTTAACTATATATTCAAAATGAGAGTTATTTAATTTTGTGCAAAATCAATCACTAACACAAAAGTCAGGCTTTTCTTTTGTTTCCCAAAGACAGGGATGAGATTTTTCCTCGTTTTAGCTGATTTTTGCTTTTGTCTCTTGAATTCCAGCCTTTTCATCAAAAACTCTGATTCTTTAAATTTTTTTTTTATATATATAAATATTCCACTTTTTCTGAAAATTCAGTCGTTGAAATAAAATAATTATTTCCGAGTTTCAAAGACTAACAAAAAATTAGAACTACGTAGCTGCCAACCCTTCTGCACTTTAGTTATTTCAGCTATTTTCTCCGCTTTTACGCACAGAAAATAAGATTTTCCGTATTTTTGCATTCGCCCGCCATATAGCTCGTACTTTCATAATTCAGACGTTGCTGCTCCCTGTTTGCTGGCGTGAAAGCGAACGAATTATTGAAGAACAAAAATACCGGTGGATTTGCGGTGAAAATATTTATTTGCTCATTCAATTAATCTTTTAAATTTTTATTTATGGCTCAATAAAAACAATACAAGCAAGCCTTTTAGAAATCCCAAGCCCAGAATCTGCTAATATCTCGATTCTTATTCCTGCGATTTTAATATCAAACATCGATTTTTGTATTTACCTGATTTAAAAGTTGTGTGTTGCGATTCTAATTCACGCGATTTAAATTCGTACATTTCGATTCTTATTTACGAGTATTTAAAAATCCTATATCACGATTTGTATTTATGCTTTTTTGAAATCGCGATTTTATTACCAAACATCGATTTTCATATTTACCTGATTTAAAAGTTGTGCATTGCGATTTTTATTCACACGATTTAAAAATTATGCATTGTGATTCGTATTTGCGGGATCTATGAATTATGCATCATGATTTATTGTATTTTTGAAATCCAATGTCGAGTTTCATATTCACAAGATTTAAAAGCCACATATCGGGATTCATGTTCTCTCAATTTAAAATCTTATTCACACGATTTTAAAATCGCACTTTTGTATATCATAGCTTCTACATACATATAATATTCATTCTTGTATTTCCTCTTTTTTACTTTCTGACTACTCTCATCCCTGTAAAGACTATGCGAGAAAGTTTCGAGTCGTGTGCATTGCCGAAATATTTCTCACACCTTAGCACACAAAATATATAACTTTAGTAATTGGTTTCTTGGTTATGACTATGTTTTTTCAGTCTAGTGTGTTACAAATTGAGATTTAATTTGTTTTGAGAAGAATGACCATTCATTTCTCTTGTCTAGGTGGTGCATATTGATTATAATGTGTGTTTTGAGAAGGGAAAAAATCTTAGAGTTCCAGAAAAAGTACCATTTAGAATGACACCCAACATCAGAACTGCACTTGGGCTGAATGGTGTTGAGGTATGTATTGAATTAAATGTTCAAATCAACATAAAATAAATAGGAAAAACAAAATCTATGTGAAAACTTGGAAAAATGCTGTGTAGCTGAGAGATAAAACAGAGCAGGATGCCCCCTTGCAGCAAAATAACCTGGGCCTTTATTGGACCAATATTCACAAATCTTGGCGGAATAAGGATTCGAAGGGCCGATATATCTCCGATATGGGTCCTGTATAGAATTGTCAGATTCATCCGATATCTTCTTTACAACTCATATCGGCCCTATGTAGAATTGTCAGATTCATCCGATATTTTACAACCATTATTCAGCCAATATTGGCCCTATATAGGCCGATATTGACACTGCATAGGACCAATATTTTATTTTATTACCGTCGTTGAACAACCAACCCGATTTTTATGGGTTTACAACTACTGATGTTTGACTCCGTAGCCTTGTCATTTTAAACCCAATCCAAAAGACAAGGGAACTCCTGGATCGAGTATTGGGAGAAATATGCCTTTTGTCGAGGACTTTTTAATGAAGCCAACCCGCATTTGCATTACATGGAGAGGAAGAACACGAGAACCTCCCACGGTTAACCTGACGGCAAAGGGACTCTTAACCCATGATCCGTCTACCACTGAGGATATTTCACGCCACCATTGTGGTCGGTGCAAGCAGGATGCAGAATTCGTATCAACTATCGAATGCTCTATCCCCTGAGCCATGCATTATTCCTAAATTTCTCTTCTTTTTTTTTTAAGTTTATCAAAAAATTTCTTGTTTTCTGCTATATTAAGTTTTTCTACCTACTATACTGGTCAAAATTTACTGACAGTCTTCGATGTTTGTTCGAGGATTTTGATCTGTTAGGAAAATGTATGAACTGAGATTTTCTTCAAAAGAGTAATGTAAAATCAGGAATAATTTTACACTATTGGTGAGGATAATTTTCATGGGAAACTTGAAAATGATATAGGAAGCAGTTAAACATACAAAACGAACAATGTTAAACCACTGTGCTTACGTGTGTTAATATAGTGGAAAGTCCCATGTCCAAAATCATGGAGAAAATAAATTCCTCTGAATGATAGGTTTTCAAGATAAACAAACATTGCATCCTTTTGCTATGAAAAATAATAAATTGATAATTAATGTCGAGTTCAATCAACAACGTATAAAATACACATGGTTTGTATGAAAGGGCTATTTTGACAGCCCTTGTTTCCGATTTCCACATGGTTTTAAAAATCTCGATGTTTTAATATGCTGTTATAACACTTCATTTAGTAATAATTTCTCAATCCACTCAAGTAGCAACGATTATACAGTGAATTTTTGCGGTTTTGTGAATCATTATTAAAATGTATTTTCACTTGAGTTGTAACATCCCAATGTTTTAATGCAATATTAGTTCGTTCGGAAATCTCGGTTTTTTGCCCTTAATTATTGACGATTCACTCTCAATCCCATGTGGATTTACGATCGCATTTTTGTCAATTGTCGCTGCAGTTTTTCACAGTCTTATAATGCTATATTGTCATACGCGGAAAATTTCGAATCATGCTTTTTAATAATCACTTTATGACTAGTTTAATGTTTTTGACCACTAATTCCCAATTTTTCAAAATGAAGTTTTTTTTTTTTTTTTTTTTTTTTTTTTTTTTTTTTTTTTTTTNATGATATCCATTTTTTTTCTTATAGGGAAATATTGAATTAGAATCCAACAAAAATTGGGGGTAAGGTTAAAATTATAACAAAACAGAAATTAGACAAAACAGAATTAGATTAAACAAAAATTTAAGACATTGATTAAAATAACGGCTTTCTAGTTAATTATATAATATGAGAAAATTCAACAGAAAACTTTTTATCTATTTACAGGGTTTATTTAGATTGTCTTGTGAACATGTGATGAAAGTGTTAAGAAAAGGTCGTGAGACCCTCTTAACTTTATTGGAAGCATTTGTATATGATCCCCTGGTGGACTGGACTCCTGGAAATGAGGGTGGTTACACAGGTGCTGTATACGGTGGGCAACAAGCTTGGGTAACTGAAACGAAACAGACACGCCAAGAAATGGAAGTGGACATTGCTTTGTCGATGTTTGCGATACGTGTTGCAGAAATGAAAGGAGAATGGCTCAAAAACAGGTTATATATCTCTTTTTCGTGTTTGACAAATTATTGGAAAAGTTATGCTTTTATTGAAAACAAAAAATTTTTATTCTTAGATAACAATAAATTAAAGTTCTGCATGTATGCACATCCAAATAATGCATACTTAGTGCTATGTAGACTAAAGTAAAAACACAATATGAATAAAGAACAAGTACAGATTCTTTCTTATATCCCTTCTTTCATTAATTTGTCCCTACTAGTTAAACACTTGCTGTCATATTTGGTGTTTAGGCGTCGAGGAAGGTTCTTGTTTACTATTTAGTTTAATTTATTCACTTCATGTTGTTTTTATTTGGCATTTGATCAAACAATGATAAGACAACTTTTGTCTTACTCTTAGCTATAGCACCAAACAAGATTAGAAAATTTTCCTCCTCGTAATGCTTTTTTAAGGGTTCTCGTGTGATCAAGGAAACTTGCAGAGAATAATGTCATTTTTGTCCAAAAAATATTGTGATAAACCTGGAAAACAATCATTTTCAAAATTGAGTGTAACAAAAAGCAAATTCAAAGCCTAACATCTATTTTTATTACTTCTTTTGAAAATTCTGTTGCTATCTATAATTATTTTTTTTTTCATTAAAATTACAATTTGAATATTANTAATTAAGTAGATATGTATATTATGGTTAATTATATGGCTGATATAATTATATGACTCCCGGCGGCTGAGTGGTAGCGCTTCACGCTCCCGTGCCATAGGTCCTGGCTTCGATCCTCGAACCGAGCGAGGTTGACTCAACCTTTTATCCCTTCAGTTGGTCGATAAATGAGTACCAAGCATGCTAAACACTGGGGGTTCCGCGTTTGGTTGACCACCTGCCCGGAGCATCTGCTCCTGCACCCCAGAGCCCAAGGTTAAGAAAACTGAGATGGGCACAGTAGGCCTTGGCCTTCTGTGGGCTGTCATGCCACTGAGTTTAGTTTTCTATATGGCTGATAGATTTTCAATTTTTTTTCCCCAGTTTTTGCACAAAGTAATGCTTCTATCTATAATTTATTGTGTATTATAAGATCTTCATGTTAAACCTTCTCCAAGTTATTTGTTTTCTTTACAAAATTTAATATTCGACATTTTTTATGGAAAAATAAGTTCTAATTGAATTTAAAAAAAGAAAATTTGAGCTATTGTTGTACCTAGCAAAAATATATTCTGGAATTTTATTAAAAAATTTTATATGAAACCTGGTAAAACCGGTGAAACCTAAAATTAAGTTGTAACACTGGTTCAATTTGAAAAGGAAAAAAAAAGGTATTGTAGCATTATCGTAAATATAAGAACTTTTTTAAGCATTTATCTGCCTGGAAAGAATAAAACCTTATTTGGTTATGGTGTTTAACCAAAATCTGATTCACGTAACCAAATTGTGGAACTCATTGCTCCATTAAAGAACTTTAATTTATAAACAGTAAACATAGCTCCCAACTCTACTGGATTTTCCAGTTGACTACTGGATTTTACCAGTTTCTCCTTGTCTACTGGTTTAATTAAAATTCTCCTGGTTTTTTTACATTTTAGAAAATTCCCTAACATTGAATAAATTTACTAAAAAAATCCCTATTAAAATAGGATTTTTATACAGATTATTGCTTGCTTTCTCGAATATTTAAATATTACTAATACATAATGAAGCGAACCTCATTTATTGAAATCAGTTCAAAACTTTTTTGTTCTGAAATTTTCAGTTTATATTTATTCCGAACTCTCTTTTTAAATTAATTAAAAATACAGGGTATATGCGCATGTGGAAAGTCATGAATTTCAGTATTGAACAAAATTTGTCACAAAATGTCATGGTTTTAACTATTTTTTTTTTTTTTTTAAAAATCATGAAATCATGAATGAATCATATCGTGTTCTTTCAAAAAAAATGAAGGAAAAAACATAATTTCTAGAATGAAGTATCTTTTAAATTTCTGTTATTTCAGAATTATTATTATTAAAATTTTTTTTTATCAATTTAAAATTCTAGCTGCAGCATGCCAGTCATTGGCAATTTTTTTTACTCCGAAATGAGAACAGAAAAATCAGGAGTATTTCTTTCCTTTCTGATAAACAGGAAAAGTATATTTAGAATACAATTCTACAGGGGGGAAAAAAATAATATTTACTCAGCTATTTTATTGCTTCAACTCTTTCTTTACTCTGTTTTTTTTTTTCTTTTAATTTAAAATCAATAAATATGAAGATGTAGAGTATAACAATTTTGGTTCTACCTATCATTTTAATTAATATTATTATAATGCTTTTTAAATTTATTATTCTGTTTTTGTCGGAGAAAATAGTAACTTCGTTAAGAAATGGAAAATCTAGAATGTAGCAGATTACCTGAAAATATCTTTTAACTATCTTTGATGAAATAATTAAATATTAATATTCAAAATTATGAGAAAATTGTTAATATTGTTATGTTTACTGTTAATTATAACTGGAATATATTGCAGTCTTTCTATTTTGATGACTATAAAAATTCCTAAAATTCCCTATGCGTAAGATATTTAGTACATTATTATGCAACAATTATGATGAATTTTATCACTTTGTAAAATGTACTGAATTTTTTCCTATCCATGTTGGCAGCTATGAGTAAAATATAAAAACATATTCAGTTTACATTGGTTAAGATAAACGTGGGTTCTGATTTGTGTAACATATATTAGGGGGTATTATAGTGTTTAAAGTGACTTATAGTGAAAGAGGGGTGCTTTGATTTATTTATATTAATGTAATGCAGCCCCCTTACTTATTCTTTCCTTTCAAAATATATTTATTTTAAATTTGTATTCCAGAGATGAGCTTCTGTCGGCCTTTCCGCAACTAGAAGTACTTCTTCAAGAATGGAAAAATGCTCAGCACAAGCTTCAGTCGGCAGAAACTGAACTGCAGGATGCTTGTCAAGAAAAAGCTTTATTAGAAGAAGCATTAGCCAACCCAAATCACAGCCTGTATTCAGTACCCAAAAGGTATTTTTTGCTGTATTAAAAGTACCTGTTATACATTTGTTTGTACTCATTCTAACCTTTATATGTTGTTTATTATTAAAGGTACGATGAAACGACCATCGTGAAATCGACGGTAAATGCGACAAAGGAGGCTGCGAATGAAAAGCTGAATGAATACAAGAAATGGCATTCTCTTCATTGTGTATGCTATATTTGAAATATTTTACTTCATTTTTTTTTTCTTTTTTTAATTTAACAATTTATTCAGATAAATAAATCTACAAACTATTTTTTTGACATTGAACGATATTTTTCAATTAATTAAGCAAAAGAATCTACTGCACAATATATGTTATGTGAGTTCTAAATATAATGAAGATATGAAAAAAAAAAATTTTTAAATTGTCGAAATCTGCCTAAAAATATTATATGAAAATAACTGTTGCGCACTTTTTTTCCTCTCAAATATTTATAATACTCTTCTACCGCTATAAAATTCTTATTATTCTCAAATTTATTACATTTATTTTGTTTCCTTATTGAAGGAAAAGAAAATATTTCAAAGTCTCTTTTCCCTTAAAGCACTGTTTAAATGTATATATTTCTTTACTTTAAAAAAAAAAAAAAAAAAATAGAACCTTAGCAATTTTCTAGAAATTCTCAATAATCTTCAAAAAATTTTTGTCAGTTCTATAAAATATACTTAGTTTAAACACTTTCCATCCGCTCCTGACGTGTTCAATGAATTTCTAGTAATATAAAATTTTTGCCGCATATTATAATTTGTGTGTACAATTAACACTAAACATACCATAACCTTGTATTGTATTGCGAATTATTTGTATGTTTAGTGTTAAATAAACTGAATTTTTGTTTATTGCATCATTATAAAAGAATGTTGCATGTCATAAATTTAGATGTTATGTTTATCAAAATACTAGATAAAAGAATATTTTAAAAAAATTTTTTTCTTTTTATTTTATGCAGGAATCTCTGTCAGCAGTTTGTGGATCAGAATTATCTAAGAGATGCAATGATATTTCTTTTGATCATACAATGGATAATTTATCAATCACTCCTGTTGTAGAATTCCTTCAAACAGCTGGTCAAGGTCCTCTTGTGCAGCAAGTGAGTATTTCTCTTGTAATGAATGGTTTATTTGAAGTTTCAGAGTTTAAATATAAATTTTGAAAAATCACTTTTGAACATGGTGCATAGCGTTTTCAAAATGTGCTTAAAGGTGCTTATTTTTGTTTTTTAAAAGCCCTTAAAGGAGCTTAATCTTCCCTTTTCTAAAATGAGATTTTTTTTTTCATTTCCACAATGATTTTCGCTGCGTGTTATGCAAAAACGTAGTTTTCACATTGTTCTATTCAACCTTTTCACAATTCATTCAATCACAATCCATTTCGGCGTGCCTTCGCTCCGTAACGTATGATACCACCTATCATGTTACATGTTTGATGAAATACATGGGAGTCCGTGTGTGCGTCTACTGAGCTGGGTCGGATGAGATTCTTCTACTCTCATTTGCTACTTAGCTGCATTTTGCAAGATATTCTAAATTTCAGGCTTCATTTTCCACCCTCTGAAATCGAACCGAAAAATCTCTCGATTTTTTTATGGTGACTTATATAATCAAGAAAAGAGTTCTTTGTCAGAAACTAGTTGTTTTATCATGATCATCTAAAGTCTTTGAAAATTATTTTGCATTTTGTTAATGTATATAGTGCTTAAAGATATTTTTTGAGTGCTTAAGAAGTACTTAAAAGGTGCTTATTTTTTGTTATAAGATTTGGCTACGCGCCGCCCTGTATTATGTTTTGTTTTAGATCCTTGTAGAAGTAAAGTAAAAAAATTGTGTTGATTCTTTGCATTTTTAATGGAGTTAATTTTTCATGTCTTTTTTAGTGTGAGCATGCTGAAAGCGAACTTGCTAATACTTTGCAGCAGCGCCAGATAGCTTTGAGAAATTGTGTCGATTTACTTTCTGCTTATGCTACAATTATATTACAAGTAAAGAAAATACTTTTATTGATTTTGTGGGACTCATTGTTATCTTATTTTGTGTTATATCTTTTTTCTTTTCATCTCTAGTTTGGCCCTGGCTATTGGGAGCAAAATAGATGTTTTAAATGGCAACAGTGGCTGGAAAATTTGCTATCTGATTTTACGTCTCTTAAGTAAGTTTTAAAAAAATATTTCTTTTGACTTTTAATTGAATGCTAAAAATCTTGTATTTCATTTGGTAGGATAATTTTATTTAAATGCTTGTTATTGTCATTTTTATAAATTTCTTTTAATTTTGATAAATATGAAGGAAAAAAAGTTATTCAAATTAGCTTCCACCAGAGCTCCAAAACCTCCTTTGTTCTCAAAGCAGGTATAGTTTTAATTTCGAGAGTGGTCGCTTTATTCCTCGTCGTGCAAATTAAAAGACAGCAATTGATATATACAGGGTTCGTACTGACTCCTTATACTTCTTAGAAACTCCTTGGAAATAAAAAGGTCTCTAAGGAGTACAACTACTTAGTTTTCCAAATTAGTCCTTAGAAACTCCTTAGATTATTGTGTTGAATAGATGAACTTACTAAGTCTGCTGATAAATTTGCTGTCCAAGCCAAGATTAATAATGATATGACTTTATTCCTCGTCGTGCAATTTAAAAAATTGATTTATTGAATTTGCATGATATATATTTTCTGCAGCTGCTGTGTATGTTGGAGTTGTAGAAGCTGTTTAATGAAGCATGATTGTTAAATAAGACTAGCTGTGAGGTACCTCTGCCTCATCTGTGTTGGAGTTATATCCAACCTGATCTAGTGGGTCCCCCAACAAGATGTTAAGTGTTGAATCAAGGGCGCCGTCAGAATAATATAAAAGGGGGTGCAACCCTTTAACAAACTAACCCCCCCCCAAAAAAAATCTTATATTCTGTTCTTATATTTTGTTTTGTTATTACATATACTATCATCTGTTAATTTTTTTCAAGATACATTTCTTCATTGTTAACAAGATATTTAAAAAAAATTATGAATTTCTTGTATTTACAAATTTTGCCACGAGAAACTGTATCCAGTTTTGTATACTAACGTGTTTGTGCATGCTTGGGATTGATCTACGATGTCTCACGAAAGAATAAATAGTTTGTGCATGCTCAGTGTGCATAAGAAAAGAATTAAAGATGACTCAGAATTCATTGGAAAAGTTATAAACAGATTTGGACGGCAAACAAGATGATTACAATTCTTGTTTGATTAAATAATTTTGTAATTTTTATGCATCAATAATTACTTAATTATTTGTTTTTGAATAAAAGTATTTTTAATAAAAAAAATTTATAACAAAATTGTTATCATGTATCTCTTAATTGTTTTTTTTTTAAAAAAAGCCAGTGGGCCGGCGACCTTGTGTGAAATCAAAAACAGCTTTTAAAAAAATGTTTTGTTTGACTTAAAAAAGAGAAAGAAAAAAGTTGTTAGGAATTGTCTCAGGGTTGAAGTGTAGATGGGACAAGTCAGATTTGGGCCTTCTGGAATTTCCAAAAGTAATTTAAGTTTTTTCATGTTTCCAAACATCTTGTTCGGGGTTTTTTCCAAAATGAGATTTTATTCTTTAAAATATCATTTAAATCAGAGCCTGACTACGGCAGGGGCATACTGAGCAGTTGAGTGTAAAATTCGTCAGTTTTATTTCATTATTCTTTTGTTTGAGCACAAGCAATCTATATTTCGTAAATCTATGACTTTCTATCAGCAATTCGCAATTATGATGGATGCATTTGGCCATTGAAAAGCCTGTATTTTTACATATGGCAGAACGTGATTTGTTTACAAAAATATAGGCTTCTGATTGGCTTATTTGAACTATCGTAATTTGCGAAAATTTAGTTGAATTAGTTGCGAAAGTTTAGTTAACAATCTGAAAATTGTATTTTTGAAACTGCATTTGCATGATAGACATAATTGTCAAAAAATCAATAAATGGACAGAACAATATTTTGTCTTCTGTAAGTGCAGACGATTTTTGCTTAAAGAAAAACACTTAGAATGAATTTAGAAATGGAATCGAAAAGATTGATGGTTAAACATCTTTTCGATCGCAGGTTTTCTGCAGGTAGAATCTTTAAGCAATTAAATCTCTTGGGTTTAATAGAACATTTATATAGAGAGCTATGAATTGATTATTGGATACGCAGAGCGGTAAAGATCGACCCAGGTCTAGTCCTCCACACTCAGTTCGTACAAAAAAAAGCACAGTACAAAAATTTGTGAAAAGATTTAAAGAAATCCACAACGATCTGCTAATAAAATGACTGCAAAAGAGAACGTGAATCGAAGAACTATGCAAGTTATATTAAATGAAGAACTGAGTTTTCACCCTTATCGCAAAAGAAAAGTTCAAGGTATGACAACTGCACAAAAATTAAAAAGGTTGCAAAGATGTAAGAATTTGCTGAACTGGCATGGTAACAAAAGTGTTGACAGAATAATCTTTTCTGAAGAGAAAATATTTTGCACTAAACAAAGTTATAAAGCTAAAAAACAATGTATTTTCAGCAACCTTCGATGAGATACCTGAAAGTGTAAGAACTGTGCAAAGCTTTTAGAACAGGAAATCTGTAATGGTTTGAGCTGCAGTGTCAATAATGGTGTTTTTTTTTCTTCTAATGTGCAGCTGGGAATGACCTTTAGTCATACAGGCATCTGAAGGGCAGATTTGTTGGCCCTCCTTTCAGGGGCACCCTATGAGCTGGGCCAAAATTGCTCCCACAATAAAGACAGATAGTACAGAGAATGAAAGAACATCCATGCCTTGCCCACCATTTGATCTAGATCTAAACTTTAGACTTGTGTTTGGGGTATTTTAGAGTCTAAAAGTTATGCTAAGCAGCACAGAAATTTGAACTCCATGAGAGCTTCTTTATTGCTTAATGGGACAAATTACCTCTTAAAATGATTTGTGCCACCATCGGACAATAGCGTAGGGGGGGGGATCATCTTTGGTAGTTGATTCGAATAAAAAATAATTTAAGGTAAACTTCCATTTATAGTGTTCATCATATTTGTGTATTTATGATTTTCTATTTAATATTTGTACAACTAAATGCTTCCTTAAGTACCATAATTTTGCAAAGGTAGGCCGTGGCAAAGATTTGAAACATTAAATGTAGGTATGTATGATGTTTCTAACGGGGCAGTAATCAATAATAAATTAAAGAACTAACAATGCTGCTAAAAAATAGTAAACAAGAATGTAACAATAGCAGAACTGACGCTCTCCCTTTCACCATAGGCAAATTCCCTGCTCGAAATCACCCTACGAATAATATTTTACTTGTCGATCCTACTCTTTCGTCACTTGATTAAGATCGGTGGTAGTGCGATTCACACGCCCCCCTTTTCTTTTGCTACAGGTGTGAAGGAAAAAAAATATTAACGAAAAGAAAGAAGTCATTCTCAAAAAAGCATGGGTGGGGAGAATTGACGGTCAAGTTCATTATGTTTACTTGCATCTATAACAGGGAAATAGACCATTTTGAAATTTAGATATGTTCAAGTAAAATGGGGCAACGTGGTGTGTTGCATGCAGATAAAAGAGGAGTGCATGAATTGCTTTATTTATTTTGTATTTAACGTTTATTTTTACTCCTTAGTGATTTGATGTGTAAATTAATTTTAAAGGAAATAATGCATTCACAATTATTTTATGCTTTCACTTTTCACAAAATCGAGATTATTATTTGTTTATTTTTAATATCTATCTTTTAAAAATTATTTTGAACATTTTTAGCTGTTTATCATTTGATAGGTTAAAATTTTAGAATTTTAAAATTATTATAGAGAAATGAGATGCATTGGTGATTGTTTTGCATTGCATGATTTTGCTCAAAACAAGATTTTTTTCATTTAGTTATTATTCATTTTTTATTGAATTATTGTAAGGATTTTTAGCTGTTTAATTAGTTTGTTTAATAATATTCAGGTATTTCACATCAAATTACGATAAAGGGCCAGGATGCAATTGTTTTGTATGGTACAATTTTGTTGCGTAGTTAGATTCTTTTCATCAATTTATTATATTTTGATAACTTATTTTTATTATATTTAGGCTCTTAATCGCTTGGTTTTCAAAAAATACGAGTATTTTAAATTTATATTTATAATTTTAATGCATTTGGGATTGTGTTGCGAGATATCACAATTGTGTTCTCATTATTTTGTCCTGTATACGAATACTATGAAAGGTATTTACGTCACTTCGATTTTTATGTATGTTCTTGTTCTAAAAATGTTTTTTCAAGTGAAATATTCCTAATTCATATATCTCTTAGCATTTTGGTTTTTTCTTTTGAAATTTTTAATGTCATAATAGTTTCTCTCATAGTTTGTATATTATTGTGGGGGGTAGTTTTTAAATTATCTTTAGCTTGGAGGGGCTCTATTCCCCGACTTTACTGCAGATGGTATACCCTATTTTAATTCAAATTTTTCAGTAAAATAATTTGATAATTGTTTCAAAAGATTAATTCACATTTTAACAATCATTGAATCTATCTTTTATTGTTTAGATGTCTTGAAGTGATGGCTGAATTCCGACAATTATATGATAGTGAAACATCTGATGGACTCCAGATTGCCATTTCATTGAATATGCAATTTCAGACACTCATTAACGAATCCAACTCAAAAGTTTTATCGGTTAGTTTATTTGTATTACTATCAATTCTCTGCCAGATATTCAATAGAATTATTTCTGAAGAGTAAACTATATTTTACTAAAAAAAAATTTGTGCAAGGTCTATCTATTTAAAGATCTCTAAAACACTACTTTGTAAGTTCATTATCAGGGTGGCCACCCACCTGGAAAACCTTGAAAACCTGGAATTATCAGGGAATTTTTTTTATACTGGAAAAAACCTGGAAAAATCAGGGAAATATGGATAAAAACCTGGAAATTTTGAAGAAAAGCTGGAAATTTTTTCTTATATAATTTTTTTAATTTCACTAATTTAAATTATTTGCTAATTTTCTTAATTTAAATTGTTTCATCCATTATACCCACATTTTTTAGACGGAAATGTATCTCCAAACANCTACTTACATAGAATTATTAATGTTTAAAGTCAAGTCATAATGTCTCTAAAAATTTGTGGTAATACTGACCATCATTTCTGCATTTAGATTGTTTTTAAAATGACTCAAAAAATGTAATTATAGAACAATTTAAAATAAGTAAATCTTGTTAATTTTGTTTTTGATTGTAACAAGCATAAATACATGATGCTTCATACAATTGAAATGGATGCTCTTCTGAATTTTATTTTTCTGTTTGTTTTCAGAATCTTTTTGGTTATTAGCATAACCAAATTACACTGATAAATAAACTACAGTTAGTGTAACATATGCGTCTGTCAGAATAACCCTATAGAGAGTACTCTAATTGCAACTGTGACATGATTGATATTTTTTAGATTGCTAAAGTTCTTTTCCTGTCTAATGTTGCTGTCTAATTAAAAATGGTTAATAAACTTTGCTTAAATGGAGCATTAGGCTTTTTGTTATATAAAGTGAATAAAGATTACCACAGTGTTTACCTTTTCTAGTGTTTCTTTCAAATCTAAAAACTGCACGTTTTTCACTATCTCGTTAGGTTTTTAAGATAACAAAAGTTATTTTCCCAAGACTATTGTTTAAATTATATTAATTTTAAAGGAATACAATTGAAATTTTATCAATTTTAATTTAAATTTGATTATTTTTAATGAAATTTGTTTCCATCAGGTAGAACAGCTAAACCTTTTTGCTGCAAAAAAGAATTTATTTGCAATGAGTGACATTTTATACAAGTAGACTAATGCGAACATTTTTTTGTCAAAAAGTAAATTTTTTATAAGTATAATTTTTTAACTCTTAAAAGGAATTTTTTGTAACAAAAATTTTGACAAAACCCCCCGTGTATAGTTCCCTAGCAAGCTTGCTACTCATTTATCAACCCACTGAAGGGATTGAAATGCTGAGTCAACCTTGCCCGGCCCGAGGATCGAACCCAGGACCTGTGGCACGGGAGAGCGAAGCGCTACCACTCAGCCATCGGGCGTCAGTTTGTAATAGAACATTTCACTTTACTGAGAGAGGTATTTTGAAGGCAAATCAATACATTTGAAAATTTTTCTTCAATTTGGTTCATTTGATAAACAGTTAGATTTTTTTCTACCAATCTTTTTTTAGCATTCTTGAAAATGCTAACATTTCTATATTTCTAACAACATTGCTAACCTAACTAACACTGCATATATTTCTATATTGTACTTCTGATGCTGGTTTGGAAAGTTGGTACCTCTGTTATACAAATGACAGAAATAATTTTCTATCTTGTTTAGATTCTTGAGAGAATGCGCTTGGAAGGAGTTGAAGACAAAAATACTCTTACTACTTTTTGTAAAGAAACTAAATGTGCTATAATGCATTACCTTGGAGGTTGGTTTTACTTCTCATTAAACACGATGATCCTATATTTATTTATTTATTCATTCATTTTTATTTCCTTTTGCAGAGTGTGATGAATCTTCTCATCTGGCATTTCTCTGTGTTTTCTGCAAAACATTCTGTTCTAAGAGTTCTCATTTAATGATGATGGAAAGTGCTGCTAGTGGTAATTCTTCTTTTTCACCTCAATTTATGTGACTTCCTGTTTGCAGGGTTTTATTTGCTCATACCATTAATCTTGTTATTTATTATGACTGAACAAAAACCTTTAAGGAAAATGATTCTCTTGAATTTCCATTTATTTCTGGATCGTATGATGTTTGTTGCGACATATTTAAAAATTTTGCGTCACAAAGGATGATATAATCAGACATGCATTGCTCGTAAATAATGTTTTTATGATACTTAAAATTTTATATGTTTCCTTGTAATCAAGAATTAGTAAATGAACATTATTGCACCATCAAGTAGATGAACATTAAATGAAGATTATTGCACCATCATTCTTTTTTTGTAATTTAAGCGTTTATTGTTGTCGGCCATTCAGGCAGAGGGGGTGCAATTGTTCTTGTTTTCCAGTGGTGCCATCTATGGCTAAGAATTAGACTTTTCCCACACTCATACGTTACAACCGTTTATAGGGCAGACTCATTCATTCATCCAAGGATCGTAATTATGACCTGAACCAGAGAACGATCGATCTCCAATTCAGTACCCCCAGAGGTTTCGATTTGTTGTGGGAACGTGGAGGACTTTGTGAGCCGACAGATTTAACGAGCAACAGTCACTGTTTGCCGCTTCTTCGGCCTGTTGGATTCAAACTCCCGTTCTTACAAACATGAATCAAGCTTCCTACCAACCAGGCTATACCAGCCTATTTAAACGTTTAGAATATCCATATTAGAAGGAGGTAACCGCTAACCCTCTCGAACATGCATTAAAACTACGCCACTGCTTAATACAGATCAACTGTTGAATAATATTTCAGTCTAAAATAGTTTCTAACATGAGTGTTAATTTGTATGTAAGAAGTAAATTTAATGTTAACAGGAGCTGGAGACAGACTTGTTGATTTGGCATCTTGGAATGGAGATTGGTTTCTGGATGAGTTATCTACTACCTGTGGAAGTTTAAATGAATTTGTTCAACTCTTGCAAGATAGTGTGGTAGGCATACAGGCATCTTTACTTTCCTGAAATATTATTCTATTAAAAAAAGATCTCTTTAATTCACACTATTATCCATTAGCCTGAAAATGCTGAAATGAAAGCTGCCATTCAAGGGATGAAAGCTGTCAATGGTGTGTTTGCTGCTTTAGAGGTAAGCTTACTCTTGCTGAAAGATAGCTCAACAAGTTTGTAAAATCTATCACGGTTTTACAAAAAAAGACACTTTTTAATGTATAAAGGATTTTATTTAGAGTGTTATCTAATATGTCTTATTTTAGACTTTAACTGCCCACTCTGACTTAAGTTCATGATATTATTCTTATTCATTAGCAAAAGTATATGGCCATTAAAAAAGTTGTGATTGTTTATATGCTGCACCCTCAATGAAAAGTGTTTTTATAATCCATCTCAAGTACCCTTTGTTGGCCATGCTTCCTCTTTCTTTGGTTCAATTTAGAACTGCAGCCAGGGTTATGGTTTTGGATATTCTAAACTGGTTTTGGACAGGACATGGGAGTTTTACTGTCCTAAACTGACTAAAATTGACCTAAACTGCCTGAAAGCGTCCGAAACCTCTAATGTTGGTCAAAGGTGTAAGTCCTATATGAGTAATCATTGTACATATAATTACATATATTAATAAATATTTGATACTTTTTATGCAATTTACTTTAAATTATTAAAGGAAAATAACATAATATAATAGGAAAAGATGAATAACTTTTAAAGCTGCACAATTCACTGTATAACAAAAGTGAATACCTTATCCTTTAAATATGCTTTTCATACTGATAAATTGTGTTTTTGTGTAAGGATTAATAATGCAATATTAAAAAATAATGATAAACTTTTTTAATAAAACAAAAACTTGTCTTCATTTTGTTACTTATTCAAAAATGAACCTTTTATTTTTTAACATTATTTTTTTAAAAATTGTCAAATAACTTGTGACAATTTGAACCAAAAGGTTTTGAACCATGGGGTTTATGACAGGACAGTTTAAACCGTGGATTAATCCAGTCTGCCGTAAACCATTCCAACTCTGATTTTCACTCTTTAAATTATTTTTTGTTGGATGAATAATTAGTTGTGTGTATTGTCTTTAGGATCTTATATTACAGTTCCAAAACATAATTCTTCCTGAAGCCATTCAAACAGCTCTTGAGCCATCTGTCATTGAAATGGTAGCCAAACTAGATAGAATAATAGCTCGATGTGGCATTCCATTAGACAAATTGGTAGATGACTTGGAAGCCAACATTTCAAATTTTATGGTAAAAACTCAGGTAAATTCTTCATTTAAGAAATCTTGGTATTATAAACATGTGAACCCTTTTATCATTATTTGTTATCTGTAACAGATAATCTTTTATGTCATCTATAATCCCAGGATTAAATTTTTTTATATAATTCCTTATTGTGTCGCACCAAATCATGCTGTTTGCCGTCAATCTCCTCGCAAAGCTGTCACTCTTAATATTAATTTTAAATTCTCTCTGATATTTTTTATTTCTCTGTACTTTACCTCTGTTCAAAATAAAACTGAAGAGAAAGATCAATTTGGTTTGAATAAAAGTTTTTACTCACTATTGAAGGTTATTTATAGTAACAAACAATTGCGAATTGTGAACCAAAACTTTAGGGAGGTGAAGATTTGTGATGATGGAACAAGGACTTACTGCCTCTGCAAAAATTGCCCAGACATAGAACTAACCCCCATACATTTTTTCAACTGTCCTGCTATACTGGCTCAATTGCAGCAAATAAGTGACAATCCGTGGATGGAGTTATATGAAGAAAATTGCCTTTAAATTGCAGCTGTTGTGTATAGGACCTTTGATCACATTTAAAATTATTTTCTGTCTATGACACGACACCAACCAACCAACAATTGTGGTATACGCAATGTGTTTTATCTTGGAGTTTGTAGACTATTAATAAAATAAAAAAAATATTAAAAATAAAATAAAAATTTGAGTAATGAAAAAGTAATGAATTAAAAAAATCTTAACTTTTTTCTTTTGGCTTATAACTTTTTTGAAAAAAGAGTTATTTGCTAAAATAGTGTAAAAAATTAAACTGAAATTAAAAATTATTATCAATTCATTTAGAATTTTTCAAGGTTTTGGAATATATATATACATACTAGCTGACCCGGCAAACGTTGTTTTGCCACATGAATTATTTCTATAGTATGAAAATATATCTTATATGTAGTAAACGATGACGGAATGTGAAAATAACAATATACCAAATAATAGGTTTTAATTTATTGTAACTTCCAATACACTCCAATTTATATTGGACTAGCCTTAAAAAAATGCACGCAGCGGGAAAAGGTAAAATCGGGGTAAATAATATTAGTATGTTTTTCAAAGATTGACAATTAAAACATGAACTATTGAAAAAAAATGTGTAATCCTTGCTTGTTTCTAGATACGATTTCAACACTATCCATCTCAATACTTGCACATTTGCTCCAATATTTGAATATCCTCCGATATTTTTTACTCGTCATCATCTATTTCTTAACTATTATAGGAATCAGAAATTGACATGTGAAGGTATTCTTTAAAAGTTCTTCTGTCATTCCTGTTGCTTTATGAAACCCATTTGTAATGCATTTTGTTTTTCTTTAGAAGCATTTTGCTGATCACAGTGATCATTAGAAAAATGAATAAAGCGTAATTTTTTTTAAAAGAGTAATGAAGTAACATTATCGGTGTAGCTAATTTTCACGGACCAGCAGAAAGGGATGTAGGGAGCAGCATAATTTATGAAATGGACAACATAAAATCATGGTTCCAGTATCTGTGTATATATATATTTTCCTTTAATATATAAATATATATATATTTTCCTTTCGCTTAAATTAAATATTATAATTGTAGAAATGTTAAACCGCTTTATAGTTGATACAAATCTTATAAAATTTATGATTGAGAGAAAAGACAAAGTATGCATTGTTTTAAGTGATTTTTAATGTACTTGATCCATAATTATAGGAAAGCATTCATGATTGGGTATTGATATTTATCAGTGTCATATTTAATTTTTTAACATAACACTAAGTAGAATTTTCAACATAACTGTTATAATTTTTGAAAAATAAAGCTTACCATGTGTAAAATTGTCTGATTCATAGAAAAAGGTTTGATTTTTTTTTTTTTTTCATTCAAGTCTAAAAGTATTTTGTAGAATTTAATGTTTTTCAGAATTGTATGAATTGGATTGGAAATATTATGTCTTTAACTGCACATTTGGATTAAACATGAAGTATATTGCAGAAATAGAATGCCTTTCTAATGTTTATTTTCTCTAGATTCCGGAAAATAGAGTTGCTGATACTGTAAAAAAACTAAGAAATGAGTTTGAGTCATTAATGCAAAGGACTGAACCTCAAATAACTGGTAATTTAATTCAGTGTATTATCATTCAGTGTCAAAGATGAAATTTGTAGGGGAGGGGGAAAGAAAGGCAAAATTGGTTTTAGATATTGAGTTGTTCAGAAAGTAAATTTTTTTTCTCCAAACAGAGGACTTTATAATGAACTTCTCTTATGCTGTTCAAGCAGGGGGGGGGGAGGGATTATTCGAAGTGTATTGACAGTACGCCAAAACTGGTTTGGAAATTTTCAATCTGGCAAAGGTTTAATGAAGATGCACAGATTAAATTTACTAAAGTAAATTGAAGGCATTAACTCGTGAATAAATGATTTGTGAGAAATTAAATACGTTGAATGACACTGTTTATCGTCATGTGAAGGAATTATTATCAAAGTTCTTATAAAAAGAAATTTATTAGATATATGTGATCTCAAACGTCAAGAAAATGATCCATTTTTTGAATGGATTGTCTACACTTTATTTCAAACCTTAAGAAAAAGGGATCCAAATGGAGAATTCAGTATAGTATTGATAAGAAAAGTCTTTCCAAACAACGCATTCATCCAAAACCATTGTCATTTAAGTGTTCAGCCAAGTGGGATGAAACCCTGAAAGTGATTAATTATTTAAAAGTTGTTGAAAGAATCTGATGGTCTAATGAGTCTTCCAATTTGTGCTCTCAACTGAAGAAAGAGAATGGTAAAATATTAACAGGGTGGCCACCCACCTGGAATTGTCAGGGAATTTTTTTTATACTGGAAAAAACCTGGAAAAATCAGGGAAATATGGATAAAAACCTGGAAATTTTAAAGAAAAGCTGGAAATTTTTTCTTATATATTTTTTTAAATTTTACTAATTTAAATTATTTGCTAATTTTCTTAATTTAAATTGTTTCATCCATTATACCCACATTTTTTAGACGGAAATGTATCTCCAAACAGTTAAAATATCATCAACTTACTTTGCTTTCATCAAAATTTGCTCCATTATACTAGAATACAACATAAAATTCTCCCATGGTTGCTAAGCAAATGTAGAAACCTTTGATCTCTATGCAGACTGTGCAATTTAGGAAAGGCAAAGATTATGGTGGATGTGGAAGACGGATATTAGGATTCGGTTTTTAAATTCTGTCCGCGTTCACACAATGATTCAAGTTTGTTCGCAATTGAGAGTGGTAATTTTTTTCTATTTTGACAAAATGAGTCAAAATGTTTTTGTATTTTTAACTTTATTAAATTCTTTAAAAATAGTTGGTTATAATTTAATAATAATAGATTTTATATTGCACTCTTTTTCTGAAAGCTTTTGAACTCCCATTCAAAGAAATCTGTAAATTATTTTTTCTCAGCAAACTAACCAATCACACATTTC